TGATGAAATTAGAGATTAGGATAGGATTGCATCAATGGTTATGGTTGGAATTAAAGCCATATAGGTAGGAATATGAGAAATGGGTGAGAAGTTATTATAAATTAGATATTTGTAATATTTATATTATATATTTTGTCTATAAATTAACTAGCTTGCCTTAGAAAAAAAAAATAAAGGGAGTTAGAAGCAAAGTATCAATTCTAGAGAGCTATTTTATAAGAGTGAAAGGAAAAGAAAAAGAGAAAGAAGCTTGGACCGGTGTAGGCAATTTTACCCGACTACGCGCAGACCGGCGGATTTATTTTAAATCCAAAAAGGCAAGTTATTATCTACTTTTCCCCTTTGAATTAATAAATTAATTGTTTAGCTTATTTTTATGCATAGAGCCAAGGTTTGGAGGTTAATAAATTATTAATTTTATTTTATTAAATTAATGGAATTTTAATTATATAGGATGGTATATATTTATTTAATGTCCTATGAAATTAATAATGGCTAAAAATAATTAAATAAGACTTTAGGGATTTTTCTAGAATTTTCTAGATTTTTCCGGGCATTTTCTGCAATTTCCGGCGACCTTCCGGCGAGTTTTCCGGTCGCCGGCAGTGGGGGAGACGACCGGAGTGATCCGGTGCGACGCGGCACACCATAGGAGGGTGTACGCGCGCATCCTGGCCATTAGTGGAGTCTGATTGATCCGGTGCATCGCGGTCCATGATACCGCGGTACACCCGGATCTGTGGGCGTTGGATGGAGGGAAGATAGGGTGAGATGATCCGGTGTGACGCGAGTACGGAATCCGGATGCAGCCAACCAACCAGGAAGTGACACGTCAGCAAGGCACCCTTAGTGCGCGCGTGGCAGCGCGTGCGCGCGCGTGGGAGCGCGTGGCTGATGCCAGACGCGCGTGGAGGCGCGTGGGAGAGTGGGGAAGGTTGGGCTGCGCGTGGGGAGGCTCTGGGAGGCGCGTGAGGGCGCGTGTGGGGTCCCTACAGCTGCTGGAAATTACCAGAATACCCCTAGGGCCTGTTTTGTAAATTCCAGAACCTTAAACTTGGATTTTTAGGTACTGTGTTGGTAATTACGGGTTTAACGGGCCACGAAATTATTATTTTAATACCCGTTACTTATTCTTATGGCCGATTAATCTTTTCTAAGCATTTATTGGCTCGTTCACAGTACAGATACTAATGTGATTTATTTAACGACATTGTTAAATATAAATAGTGTTATTATCGTATTTAATGGTATCAAACATTACTGTTAAATTAAATAAGGCCATGGTTTTAGTCAGATAAATTATCCATGATATCTTATAGGATGTTTATACTGTTAATTGATATATAAACCATGATTATTATGCTGTGTGCATTTCAGGAAATAAATGGACTGTTTAATTATGTCGCATTTATATTATATGGATGTGTTGCCATATAGAACCATATGAGCTGGCTAATAAGTTTAGACTCATTTATACCTTATGCATTCGTTGCGATAGACAGATGTGTGGCTGTCGGGGTATGTGGTTTAATATTATTGGCATGTGTTGCCTAATTGACATACTCGGTATATTTCTTAATATTGTTGGCATGTGTTGCCTAATTTATATGCTCAGTATATTCATCAGTACTTTGCGAGGTGTTATCACTGTGTAGTTCGTTATAGTCTGTGTTGTCAGTACCGTGCACCATGTATAATAGCTGATTTCCCGGGTAGGGAAAGGCGACACTTAACCACCTAGTGTGAGTCTAAGTGATCACCGTCTATTCTGGTTGAGGTCATGTTATACATCGGATAGTTCCCATAGGATGTATACAGATATAGTACTCATCCGATTCATAATGATTAATTTATTTGATTCTCTGATTTGGGTCATAGTAGAGAGGACTTGCTCGTGGGGTTGACCCACCATTGTTGTTATTTCAGGATACGGTCAGTATCCGTTTCAAGGCTGAGGTTAGCAGTGTGGGACCATCATCCGAACTCATCTACTCCTACGATCCAGTGCAGGGTAGAAGTTTTATGTAGTATTTCAGTTTCAGTTTTTATTTACTTTTGACGTTGAACTCTCAGGGTTATATTTAGGGATCCCTGACGTAGGATTTCCAAGTTGTAATGAAGTACTGTATTAAATAAAGGATGGATGGATGTTGTATTATTTAATGTTTCTTTCCTGTCTAAATTCTTTTATTTCCATCATTTTGTATTCCATGCTTGTATATTGCCAATTGTTTTTGATATCCCTCGTTTTTCGTGTATAAGCCTGATCAACTTATGCGTGGAAAATGTGGGGGTGTTACATCTATACTCTACAGTTTACATACCTTATATTCTGGGTGCAAACTTGAAATTGCTTTGCCATCGTAAGTGAACAAAACTTTTATTTTTTTTGACAAATAAGGGGGAAGGGGGACTGAACATGACACACACTCAAGGAGTTGAGCATTCCACTAAAAAGGCGACACATTTGGACTATTCTAGCTCATGTGTTTGTCGTGACACCAAATTTAAGACTAAATTTGATTTTAATACCAATTATAACGGATGAGCGTTTATTAACTTCTAACGACTAAAAAATTTAAAATTTTGAATCGAATCGTGACGGGCACCAAGGGTACTAACTAATTACCCGTGAGTAGGACATTTGAGTTTAGGACCTTACAGGTCACAAGTGGAAGTGTGAAAAAGATTACACATAAGTCAAGTTGAGATAGGATGAAGAAAGCAATCTGATCATTCATGGAAGTTAATGTAACTGATCCAAATTCAATCCAGTCACGAACTTGGCTCAACATTTCAATTTAAACTCATGCCTGTATTTATAATGTGGGTTCAGGCTAAATTACTTAATATAAATATAAATATATATATATATATATATATATATATATATATATATATTTAACACCTAAATTACTTAATTTACATAGTGCAGTTTTAAACCAAATGGGCAATATAATACTTTAGTAGGTATTAAATATTAGGGTAAATTTTATTGACCTCTTTTGAGGTTTGGACAAATCTCATTCAAGTGGAACGTTTAAGATTTATTATTTTGATCTTCCTCGAGATTTGGGTGTATGCTCAACAAACCCCCCTCTCTATCAGCACTTGTAAAAAAAATTCAAAGAAAAACCAAGTTGCCTTTACAGTCAATATTTTTTTATTTTTTATATTTATTTTATTTTAAAAGATTTTTTTTAGGAGAGGGTAACGGTGGTGGAGACGAGAAAGATGGTAATAAGAGAGATGAGATAGAATAATTTATTTTTTTAGATTTTATAATATATTTTGTATTATAAAAATAAATTTCTTATAAGGGCATAATTGACTTTTTATAGTATTATGGGAGGTCAGAATAATAACCACGTTTCATCTATATGAGATTTGTTCAAACCTTAAGGAAGATAAATATAATTTATCCCAAGTATTAAGCGTCGGTATGATAAGATAGCTTGAATATTTTAGTGTGGAGTTAATAACACTAAATAATTTATATATTTGTTAATTAAAGTCAGTGTGAATGTGAATTCTGACTTTTTAATTGCAGGGAGAGAAAAAAATCCTTGCTGTTGAAATGGTGTGTAAATGAAAAGAATTGAGACATAATTCATGTGGCCGTTATTTATATAGGACTAAGACTAAAACGATGATAATATATACAATTATATTTAATCATGCGATTATAATTATATTTATTAGATTAACGATATCAAGTTTTTTTTTTTATTTTAAGCACTTGTTAGATATCGTAATATCTAACAGGTCGCAAAGTTAAAAATAGTTCATATTAATAAAAATTTAGAATTCAGAAGATATATCAAAACTAAATGAAAATGGACATGCATCTATAAATAGAATATCTATAATACCAGTAAAAAAAAAAAATAAATTTTATTATTTTATACAACTTGGTCGGGGTTGGACCTATAGGATAATACTAATAATATTGATCCAAATCCAAAAAAAAAATAAAATAAAATTTGGGCTCTAGATAAAACTTAGGCCTAGCCCAACTAGTTGAGGTGATTCTAGCCTCATCACCTTAGCCTGCTTAGATTGCGGGCCAGGGGGCCCAGGAATTGGATTCAAAAGCCCAACCCAAAACGTGAAAGGAGTACTAGCTATTCAGAAAATGTATTTGTTGGTGGAAGAAGATTAGCGAAAAAAGAAATCTAGAATTGAGCTGCAAAAATGTTTTGGTGCGGTGAACAATTAACAGTTTCAAAATTGTTTACACAAATTGAATTTTTGTACAAAATTTTCAAGCATAATTTTTTGGGATCCTAATGTTGAAATCACATTATATGCTGGTTATGTTAAAAGAATATCCAATATCTAAACTCCTTGCAGGATTTATCATACTAATATGTAGAGGTCCACATGATTATATTCGGTAAGGTGGTGTAAACCAAAATTGAATTGATTTTAACAGTTTTTAAAAAATTAGGATCAAAATTGAAATTGCTGAGGCTTCGAATTGAACCGAATTGTGAAGACTAGTTTGGTTCGGATCCGAATTACAATTTTTTAAAAAACTATTTTATTTTTTATTATTATTATTATTTTTACCTTTCTTTAAAAAAAAAAAAAAATCTCAATAACCTACCATTAACCATATGAATTGGCTTATCAAAAAAACAATAATAAACTTGTCTATCAATAAATGAAACATATTTGTAATCTTAAATCAAATGGACTATCATCTGTTTTTGTGAAACAAATATGAAATTTAAAAGTAAAAATCATTTGACAGTAAATATCCTTGTGTATAGACTAAAAAAACGTATTGTCATGTACTTGTATAATATTTTATCTTTGTAATAGTATATATTATATTATTGTTTATTAATATTATAATATATATAATAATTCACTATTCGGTCTATTTCAATGGATTTGGAATCAAAATGGGAATCGAAACCGTATATTTGACAGAATAGTAAAAGAACGGTCGGTACACTGCATAAATGATCATATCTTTGCAAAATTCTTACTCATTCAGTAATTGCTCTTATTTTAATTTTCTTATCACCAACACCCATAAGCTGCAAATTCAACAGAATTGTTTATAATTTACAACAGTAGTTTTCCGGCGAAGCGCCGGTTTCTTCTTACAAACTCGCCGGAATCACTTGCAGGCCGGCAATGGAGCACCACACAAGCACCGATTATGGAAATAAGAAGAGTAATCGAAATCCTGCAATTTCCCACCGGTCGGAATCTGACCGCACAGTCGGTTATAACTCACGTTCAGGAACTGCAAGCTCAGTGCCGTCAACCCCGCCGGAAGACTCCCTGTGATCTTATTATGATTCAAGTCCAACGACGTCAAGCTCGCCGGGAAAACAACCTTCGAAAGATCAAATTCAAACAGGTTCCTCGATAAGTCAATGATTTGTATGCTCTTGTTGGGACCAAACAAGAATGACACATCACCCACAAGTTTGTTGCGCGAAAAATCAATCCTCGGGAAGTCCAGAACACCCAGAGACTTCGGAACTTCACCGGTGAGCATGTTGTGAGATAGATAAAGTTCCGGGACTTTGCCGGAGAACTTTCCGAAGGAATCTGGGATTTTCCCGGTGAGTTTGTTCCGGTCTAAGTGAATCGCGTCGAGGTTGGGGAGCTCCGACAGTGACGCCGGAATTTCACCGGTGAGGTCGTTGAATGCGAGGTCGAGGAAGGTAAGGTTTTTGAGTTGACTGAGGAATGTAGGGACAGGTCCGGAGAGGTTGGTCCAGCTGAGTCTGATCATTTTGAGGAGAGAGAGTTTGGCGATGGCCGGAGGGATGGTTCCGGTGAGGTTTGTGAGTTTACGGAAGATTAAGGTTTCGAGATAGGGGAGGTCGCCGACGGCAGCCGGAATTTGGCCGGAGATATTGCCGGAGAAGATAGTGAGGGCATTAATGCGGTTGGTGGTGGAGTCACATTCCACACAATACCAATCACAACAATCATTTTGTGGGTTCCATGAGGCAAGGTGGTATGGGTTGTTTAGGGCTTTTTTGATCTGTAGGAGGACTTTTTTGTCCTGTGGGTTGCAGCGTTCCGAAACAGAAGGTGATGGTAGAGAGAGAAAGAGGAGAGAGAGAAGAAGAATTGAAAGATTTGGAGCCTTCTTCATGGCCGATGTAGTTTAGTTTGATTTGATGAGAAGCAAAGCATGTGAGTCTTACATTTATATACACAAAGAGTCTCTCTTTCTTAGCTCACTCTATTCTCCATTGTTGACAATAGACAATGACATGATATATGCCCACTAAACTATTTACAGCAGATATTCATTAACGATAGAAAGATATTATTATTATTATTATTATTATTTCACCAAGCAGGAGACTATATTAAAGAGGAAGAGAAAGATATTCACAATATATTACATTCTTGCAAAATGTTTCTTATTACTAGAATTTTCAATTAAGATACAATTATAAAAAAGAAAAATGTATATTTAATTAACATTGATCCAATAATACCCAATTCAAATATTATAAAATTCATTATATACCCATCTTTAGTTTTAATTTCATTATATGCTGTTGGTCCTAAATATTTTTTTATCATTTAAGTAACAATTCACATTAATACTTCCAACAAAGAGTTGGGAATTCATTCGTACCTAAATATCATTTTACAGCTTAAACACAGAACTACAGAAGTGGACAAATTAGTTAAATGAAGTTCATTGGCGTCGGTGTGAGGCTCCTATATGGAGTATTATATATAATTTCGTGCGTACAAATTATTTTGACTAGTCAACAAGGATGGCTATAATAATTATAATTGATCTGATCTGATCTTATCTGTGGGGTGCTAGATCTCCATTGTTTTGAAACTGTTTACGACAATAATTATTTATGTTGATGGAGATTTGGTTTGATAAATAATTTAAAGAGTGATATTTGGACAAAATTATCAAAGTAAATTGTCTAATTTATAAGTTTTTATTGATTATTTTTATTAAATATAAGAAAGTAAAGGATCTCATTTTTTTATATTTTGTTTATAAGACCAATCAAAACATGTAGGTCAGATAATTCACCTTAAGTAATCAACTTACGAATCATTTTTCTAATTTAAAATGGTATATTAATGGTACCTTCACCACATACAGCTTCACTAAATATCACCTGCCCGTAAAATTGCCACATTTTGATGGGATGACTTCCTTATATGGGTTTCTTCAAAGTTGTAATGGATATCCAAATCTAGCAACTATATCATGTCCGAATTGGCTTTAGCTACCTGTGTATGACCACTTACGGAGGAAAACGAATCTTAGATTGTTTGAAAACTCAAGCTCCTATTATGAACTTTAAGAGTATTCAATTTGGAAATTAAAAAATAATAATAATTTTAAAATAATTTAAAATTAAAATTAAAATCCTTTTAAAATTATTATTTTTATTAGTTCAAAAAAACCGTAAAATATGAAGAATGTATGCAATTCAATTATTTCACAAAATACTAACAATAATCAATACATGATAATAAAATACAATATTTAAAACTTTTTCTTGGAGAGGGAGTGTGTGAGTACTCATTAAGAAAAAAAAAATATTTAATTTTATAAGAATAACCAATAAGTAAATATAAAATAAGATATACTAAAACAAAAACAATCATGTATACTATTTATTATGTGATACATCATATATTTAACATATAGTATATTATAATAAATGAAAAATATTAAATAATGTATCCTATATGTAATGAAAAAATATAATGAATTATAATATTATTATTTAATATTTACATATTATATAATATAGACATGATATATAATAATATAAATAAAATAACATTATAAGTATATAATAATATAAAATAAATAAATAAATGCACAATAAATCATAAATATTATTATCTCAAAAATAATTTATAGTATTGTATAATATATTATTATATATATTAAAACACTCAACCCATAACAGGCTAATCCTTAACTCAATGAGTGAATGTTTCTCTATTGGGCTAGTAATTACTCTGCGGCCCATAAGGATATCTCTTTTACTGGGCTAGTAGTAATAACTAAAGGCGGGCCCAATCCTTAACCAAAATTGGGCTAGGATAGCAACCCATTAGGACAACTCTCCTCACTTGGACAGCGCCGCCACGCATATATATATAGATTTAGGTATTATTTTCTTAAAATATACGCGAGGCTGCACTTGTATGTATAGTCCAAAACTACTTCCATGTTAGTAGATATCTTGATACTTAAGTCAGAGTTAAGTCATTAATTTCCCTATATATGCGTTCATTTTCGATTGCACTAGCGCCTCTTTTCGGAATTACATCCACCGCCGTATATAGCTATTACAGGCACTTCAATAGCCTGGTTGGAATTCTATTTCTTGCTGCTTGCTGCTTGCTGCTTGCTACAAACTTTCTTGGATCGTACGTACTCTCAAGCAAGAAGGACCGTTTAGAACAACAACTACTGTTGAGCAGAGTCTTCTTTTAATTCATTCCAAAGGTAGCTGATCTCTTCTTTTTAGATCTTCCTTCCTATCCTTTGAATCTCCCAGTCATTTTCCGGTTTTCGATTTCTCTTTTTCGTCAAAGGAGGGAAAGGTTTTAATAACATGTACGGATTAATTTCTCTTTTAACTTCTTCATTAAGAATCAAGACATCATGTGGATTAAAGAAGTCTGGCAAGGAAATTTTTTACCAGAAGTATGTGTTCTTGACAAGATCATGCAGCGCTATTCGTTTGTGGCTATGGATACGGAGTTCACAGGTTTTTTGCATGTACCGTCAAGAAATGCATCCGAAGATGAGCACTACCATGATCTCAAGTATAATACCGATCGTATGAGGTTGACTCAAATTGGGTTTACATTGTTTGACGATGAAGGAAATATAGGAGGTACCTGGCAGTTCAACTTTAGAAAGAGTCCGGGTGTCAGTTTTAAGAAGAATCAGCGCGGAGGGTTGAATTTGGAAGGAGTTGATATGAATTTATTTGCAACAACCTTCAGAAACTTGGTCAAATCCCATCATGGTATTAAGTGGATCACATTTCATGGCTTGTATGATATGGCTTACGTAGTCAAACTGGTAACTGGGAGTCCTTTGCCAGATTCATCCATGGAATTTATTGAAAGCCTTGGTAATATAGTCGGCCGTGTCTATGATGTGAAGTATATCGCCAAGTATTGTCGAGGGCTATTATGTGGAGAGATGGGTTTGGAAAGAATGGCGAATATGTTGGGAGTATGCCGTTTAGGGATTGCACATCAAGCCGGTTCAGACGCCTTACTAACGGCTTGTGTCTATTTGGAAATGAAGGAAGTTTATCAGTTGATTGAGGAGAGATTTGAAGGCTTCTTGTATGGGGTCAGCACCAAGATCGAGAAGAACTATGAGCTAGTTACGATTTGTTGTCCACCGCAATATCTCCAACATCTTACGCGTTGCTCGCCATTTAATTCCATTTGTGTAGGACTTGACCAATTGTCTATATGTAATATATGATATGACTAGCAAGGTTCTTGAATTCTTTGTATATAATTGCTACAAGATCATTTAATTGATCGATCAATCAGTATTCTTGCATTTGTATGTTGTTTTGAAAAATTTTGTAATACTCACAATTATTTGTATTCAATTGAGATGATCAATAAAAACTTCCAAGTTTTATCAAGTTTAATTTCTTAGTTTCTATTTTTAATTTTCTTTCTTGATTCTAAACTAAAAAGCTGTGAAGTTTTTTGCATTCAATACATGAGATTTGTACTGAATTGAATATATATAAGATGCTTTCTTATGGTTGCTGCATATTATACTTTCTTCTTTCTGCTACTGGTTTAATTTTGACAGCATATCTATAATTGTCTAAAGAATTGATATAATTTGATACATGTTATATGTATGATTGCGCTGAAATAAACCTCACCTGATATTTGTTATTTTATTATGAAAAAATTCCATAGCATGGATGGTTTAATAATGCAACTACTTCCTTCCCAACTTCCTACTAATCAGAGTTGCATATAAGAACAACAAACTTCATTGTTAAAAAAAAAATTAACTTTTTTCCTTCCATTCTCTGTAATGGCAGTGAAGCATAGTAGTTGATTTTTCGTTATTCATGGGGTTACATTGATGAAAATGGATTAAACCTAGGCACTGGGATACAAACCAAAGGTTGATCACTTGGAAAAGTCAATCCAAGTCCCTCTTCCATGTCCATCCATCACCAACCTTCCATTCAAAGCATTGAGCCATAAAAGCAAGGCTGGTTTGAACCACCTGCAATGCTAGTGAAGTTCCAGGGCACCCTCTTCGTCAGCTCCCAAACGACATAAAATGGAAATGCTGTCCCCTCACATCCAACTGCCCTTTTCCATTCCCTTCTTCACTGATCACAAACCTTTCTGGACAGAACTCCAGAGGTTTTTCCCAGTGCCTATAGACCATACATTAACAAAGAGCCCAGTCTTTCCTGGTATTTCATAGCCAAAGATGGTGCAATCTTCACTTGAGTCTCTACCAATTAATAAGGTAGCAGGGTGAAGCCTTAGTGTTTCCTTTACAATGGCTTGTAGGTAAGGAAGGTTTGCCATATCCGATTCTTCTACCAATATCTTCTTTCCGACAACAGAATCAATCTCTTACATTGCCTTCTCCATTACATTGGGATGGTTGATGAACTCTGCTAATGCCCATCCAATGGTACTGGCAGACGTATTGGGTCCAGCAGAAAAAATGTCCTGTATATATATTCAAAAATGTAATATATATCTTCATTGGTTATATAAAAAAATCTATAACAACAACAGGTTATATAAGAGGAACAAGTTACAATTATTTTCCCTTTCTGATTATACACTAGGTCACCAAACTCCAAATCAGTCATCTGATTACAATTTACTGCTGACAAGAAAAGCAATGATAAATTTAAACAACAAAATAATTATAAAAAAAAATCCATCTTGCTTGACATTATAACCAAGGCAACATCACTACAACCAACTAAAGTACCTTTAAAAATAAGAGAGACTAGACTGAGATAGTTTGAACACATACAACAATGGGATGAGATTATTAAAAATGACTTTAGAATTCCATGTGCTGAACCCTATTCATATGGGATTTAAGGCAATGATGATTAAGATGACTTTATGTAACAATTATAAGAAAAAAAATAAAAGAGGAAAAAAAAAATAGAATTCCTTAAAAAGATTACTTCAAGCAACCATGCTCATCAAATCAACATTCTGAAAGTTGGCGAAGTTACGATGATCAATCAGTAATACTAATCTACGGTGTCCCACAATTCTGTAAACTATCTAACTCTTCAAGATAATCAGCTTGAGGTTAACTAGTACATGATTGCTTACATGTTAGAGAAAATAGTAATATTAATATTTGAACAAGAAATGCTAAAAATTTAAAAATAATTATACCAGAATGAAGGCCTTATTGTTTTCTGTAGTCAACCTCATCTCCGAGCTTTCATCCTCCAATATATATATCAAGTAAAATGTCAAGCACATCCTTCACCTCCATCACCAATCTCCTTCCTCTTCCTCCTCGCTTCATTGTGTTCCTCTATGATCCTCTACATATCATTTTGTCAAACCTGTCTTGAACATCCTTGAGCCTCTTTCTGAATCCCTGCACATCCAAATCCTTACAAAACCAAATAAAATCAGAAAGATTAAACTTTCTTATGAGCTCAGATATCTCATGCATGGATCAACTTCCTAACCTCCCCAGCTCCATAGATCCTCACTCTCACCCATAACCATTCTTGATATTAACATTGTTTGTCACCCTTATTAGCTCTCCTCCAACATCAACAGCCTTGCCAGCTTTGGCCTTTTCTAAAAGTGACACCATAAAGCTCTAACTGGAAGTAGGAGGCCTAGTGTTCGGCCTCCATGAAGTTCGGACATGCATAGTTTCTTCATGAACTTCCAATGAGGTCCACAAGAAGCAAAGGTGAAATCTTTTGATCCTTAGGTTGGGTAATGAACAGCATTTGTTTGGAAAAGGAAGTTTCATGTGTTTTGAGGAACTCTTTGGCCATTTCTGGGGATGAAGCAACAACAACACAAGGGACTAAGCCAAGGAAGATGTGAATTAAGATCACCACCATATGCAATGTTCTCTATAATAATGGCAAAGATTTAAGGTTCCATAAATTATAACAGATTTCTAATAAAAATATTGGTAATCTGTCCATTTTTGCATTTTAATCAAATGCTTGTGACAGCCAGAAGTTAGACCACTTGCCGCTACTTGTGGCAAGTTAAAAACAACAATGTTGCCGTGCATGCATATGCTACACATCATTTTCAAGTTTCTTTTAATTAAAAATCTATAAACCAGGTCAATGAAGAACTAAAAACCAGACTTGACTATAATATAGAAACTTGGTCACAAACTAACTGAAAACCATTGGCACAAACCAATTCAACCCACAAATTATATTCACCAATACATGCATGAGTAATGCCCCTTGTAGCTCTGTATTTTTTTTTTCCCCATTCCAAAAATTAATCTGTATCAGAAATAATTCACTTGGGAGGCATTCAAAAAATAGTATTAATAATTTGCACAGCAAAATAATAGATATATATATATATATATATATATATATATATATATACACACACATATTGAAATATGCAGGAGCTAGGTACTTGGGATCATTGTTTTGTCAACTTTCCATCTCATCTTGTAACTTAATGTTGTCATAAGAATCACAACTTGTTACTGCTACATCAGTCATAATTGGAAGAAGTGGTCTCATGGACCCAGAGAAAAATCATACACCATAATTATTTTCTTCGCATTTAGGTTTCTTATGAAAGAAGGCGATTATTACTTTTCTGCACATATATTTTTCATAACAAGCTTTCAGTCTTCGTATCTCTTCTTCATCTAAGTATTTGAAAAGAGAAAGCCCTGATTTGATTTGTTAATATTAATATACCCAATAATAATAAATTTGAGCTAGCCAATTGAAGTGATGGCCTGATAAATATTATTTGAATTCCTTAAAAAGATTATGTCAAGCAACCATGCTCATCAAATCAACTTTATGAAAATTGGAGAAGTTATGATGATCAATCAGCAATACTAATCTATGGTTGTAAACTATCTAATTCATCAAGATAATCAGCTTGAGGTTAATTACTACGTGATTGCTTCCATGTTAGAGAATATAGTTATATTAATATTTGAAAAAGAAATGCTAAAAAAATTAAAAAATAATTACCAGAATGAAGGCCTTAATGTTCTCTGTAGTCAACCTCATCTCCGAGCTTCCATCCTCCAATATATATATACATATATATATATATATATATATATATATCAAGTAAAATGTCAAGCACATCCTTCACCTCCATCACCAATCTCCTTCCTCTTCCTCCTCGCTTCATTGTGTTCCTCTATGATCCTCTACATATCATTTTGTCAAACCTTTCATGAACATCCTTGAGCCTCTTTCTAAATCCCTGCAAATCCAAATCCTTATAAAACCAAATAAAATCAGAAGGATTAAACTTTCCCATGAGCTCAGATATCTCATGCATGGATCAACTTCCTAACCTCTTTGGCCAATGAGGTCCACAAGAAGCAAAGGTGAAATCTTTTGAGCCATAAGTTGGTAATCAACAGCATTTGTCTGGAATTGGTTGGAAAAGGAAGTTTCATGGGTTTTGAGGTACTCTTTGGCCATTTCTAGGGAGGAAGCAGCAACACAAGGAACTGAGCCTAGGAAGATGTGAATTAAGGAACCATAGCGGACTGAGATGTTGTGAAGAGCTTGGTGATGTATTGGACCAAGAAGGTGGAGGTGACCGATGATTGGCACTGCTTGTGGGCTAGGTGGAGGACGGGACATAGTTAGACATTTGAAGAGGGACCGGAGTAAGATGGTGGTGATGAGCCAAACAATCAGAAGAATGAGGAAGTCATTGAAATCAGCCATGGTTGAACCTGTGAATAAAATGAAACTATAGTGATGGTAAAACAGAGGCTTTCTATAAAGATGAAACTCTGGTTCTCTTTATAATAAGGGTGATACTTGATATAGTTCATTTTTTTTATGTTTCACGTAACTTACTTATAATGAAAGATTGATGATGTATAGAAATTTTAATTTATTTCAATAGCTCTCATCCCTTTTGTTTAATGTTATTCATTTTTTATTTTTTTAAATGCTAGCATTAAGATCACCATATGCAATGTTCTCTATAATAATGGCAAAGATTTAAGCTTCCATAAATTATAACAGATTTCTAATACAATATTGGTAATCTGTCCATTTTTGCATTTTAACCAAATGTTTGTGACAGCCAGAAGTTAGACCACTTCCCCTAATTTGTGGCAAGTTAAAACATCAATGTTGTGGTGCATGACAAATCAAGTCAACGAAGAACTAAAAGCCAACCTTAACTTTAGCATCGAAACTTGGCCACAAACTAAGTGAAACCCAGATGACCTAGGTTGATTGGCACACAAACAAATGCAAATCACAAATTATATGCACCAATGCATGCATGAGTTATACTCCTTGGACAACCTAGTAAAAGTTAATGCATTGGTAGATGATAATTTTCTGCTTTACACAGCCATAACAAACTTGTCCCCTTGTTCTTTTAACTTACCTTTCCTCTTCTATCCAATATTATAGCTCAGATTGATGGAAATGGATTGACTGATTGAGCCTAGGCACTGGGAATCAAACCAAAGACAATCCCTTGGAAGGGTCAACCCTGGTCCCTCTTCACTGTCCACTTTCCCATTTCCTCGATCACCAAAATTCCATTTGAAGTACTGAATCATAGCAGCAACGCTAGTCTGACCAACCTGCATTGCTAGTGAAGCTCAAGGGCACCCTCTTGATCCTCTCCCAAATGGCAGAAAATGAAATTGCTGCCTCTCAGACCTTTCTGGAAGAGACCAAAGAGGGTTTTCCAGTGGTTTCAGTCCTTGCCTATAGCCCCTACATTAACAAAGAGACTAATAGCAATAATTGTAACCAAGCACATGTAGAAAACTTAGTTTCAACAAAATGGTCCTTATAATATTTGAGAAGAAATGTTATTACATGGCCTGCTGAACTAATGAAGCAGAGACAAAGACTTGGGCTTTCTGTACATCAATCCAAAAAAATATCTGCTATCCTATCACAAGAACTTCAACAAATAACAGTAGCAAGGAGCAAACATGCTCGTAGCCCTACACCAAGACATCAAGTAGATAATAAAACAAGCAAAATTGCTTACTAATCCTAATCTAAGACTTTCAGCTGGATGTTAACAAGTAAACAGAAAAATATAAGTATCTACTTATTCTTCCTTGAAAGCCCAAAATTTCATCAGAAGGTGATCAATCTTACCACACAGGACAGTTGTCCATAATCATCTCTTCCAAAATCCTCAATCTTTTTCCTCTCAACAAGCATTGATGTGGAGATGTAACTAAAACTGTGCAGATCAACGCAGTGACATCAATGTGCGCACTCTTTTTTTCCCCTCTGCCTTCTTTGCACTAGGGGTTCTCTTCAGTTTCCTTAATTCCTCCATCACAACTTTCTCTACTGTGTTGATTGAGTTCAGAAGCTTTTTTGGGGGTGTGAGGAAAATTGATTCTCCAGCATCCTGGTTAGTGATATTAAGCAATATCTTAGACACCTTACCAACAGAAATTGGGCAACACTTCATTCCAAGTGTAGGACCTGGAGAGATCATAGAAATATTGTGCTCGAGTTCAGCACCCGATGGAGATACAGAAGGATCAAGAACTACTTGGTCCTGGGGTATTGGTCTCTCAATTTGTTGGCCTTCGATTTCTCTCAAGCTAGCACTTCTTTCAATGGCCTACTGAAAGAATCCATTTAGAATCAAATTCAACATGAAAATATGCTAAAAGAACACCCAGGCAAGAAGAAGAAAAGAAAAAAGAGAAAATGCACCTTAACCAAACTACATCCAATCTGCTTTTAACCCAACTTCAAATCAATGGTAAATTCTGTTACTCACAGCAATGATAAATTGCAAGACAAGCTAATATAGGAAGTGGACAAAGGTTAATTGAAAAGATTATATTCGGAAAAATCATAATAATCAAGTGCTCAAATTGAGCAACTGTCCGCCACTCAAATTGGCTTAAATGTATCAACACAAATGTGATTTGTTGCTCACATGTCAAGGCTGCAGAACAACAATTGCATTCACTAAACAATACTGTTCCAATTCAAAGATGAAAATAAGAAAATAATTAGCAGAACAACTACAACTGCCAAATCTGGTTTATCAGGTAATAAATATCACAAATGAAAATATCACTGGTATGAACAATATAACGAAAATAGCAAAATACTATAAGAAGACTAACATGAGGAATTGGACTAATACTAATCATAAAAGACTCATATACAAATTTGCCAAGTGTACTGAATATGCTAAGCAGAATGGCAGACTAGCCATATGAAGTAAGCACTGCTGATAACTGAAAGGATATTAATAAAATAATAATGTTCATGAATAGAGCCTGATTTTACAAGAATATTCAAATCTGAACAAAACCTGATTTATAAAAAAATTCTAACATTGTTTGTCAACTAATAAATAAGTGCAAAAAAATAACTTCATGGATCAACTGAAGAGAAACCATATAACAGCAGAAGTATCTTAGTAGTTTTGCATCACAGATCAAAATGAGTTGACAAGCCTATGACAAAACAATTTTTTAAAAAAACTCAAAAGGAAAAGCCTATGAATAAATTAGAAACCCATTTTTTTAAATTCAAATTATTCAAATTTCAACTTACAATTAGGATCAAAATGAGGGAAAAGTAGCATAAATTAAAACATAGGAAGTATGGAATAGGAACAATCTAATTATTTCATTACTCCACTATTGTTTCTCATTCTCATAGAATAACGCAGAAAAAGTAATACGTATATATATCAAAGATCACAATCATATTTTCTCAACCCGAACTTGCATATGCCTTTTCTCAAGATACATCTAAATACCCTATTTTCACAAAACCAAAAAGACAAAAAAATCTGCACCCAAATTACAGATATGATCCGCAAACGATATTAAGTTTGTTTCAGACCATTTAAAACCAGATTTAATGAATATATGTAATATGGACTCAAACACAAGCAAGAACCACAAGGATTGGACGGACAAGAAACTCAACTAACATTGAATCTAATTCTATCCAAGATTCACAAAGACCCCATCTAAGTACTCCTAGATGTGTGATCAAAACTATGAACTCCAGAACTAAACAGAAACAAGAATAAGGCAAAAGAAATCTACTCAAAGCATATATACAAATAAATGAACCAAATGCATGATAGGCCATGCAATTAACCAAAAAACCCTAATCAAGAATATGCATAAGCCCTAACCAAACAAGAATAAAAATCATTACCCGCACAATAGTAGTGACGTCCCCAAGAGGTTCTCTAGGATACCAAGAAGGTAACACACTATTCGTGGAACGTCCTCGGCCTCGCCGGCCATTTACCATCAAAGTGTTTTGACAATATAACGACGGCGATCTGGACAAACTCCGGCCACGCCCATTTCCAATCCTTGGTGTTCCGAAACTACCCCTTCCAACAGCACCACGACGAAAATCCGCCAGTCCAATCGATCCTTGTGTACCCCTCCCAGACGGAGTCTCAAACCCCATCTCTGGCTCGTCAACTAGAATTCCCAGAGCACCGATTATTCGACGTTGAAGAGCAAACATCGTCGAAACGTTATTGGGTCTGGACAGTCTGTCTCTTGATTCCGGCATTGTGCCAGGAGTAGAGGAGGAACCTCTGACGGCAACGATGTGGTGTCTGGACTAACAGAAAGAACACGCCTATGCTGGGATTGTATCAATCTTCAACTGAAAATATAAGTAAATGCACATATAATCAAATAAAGTTATCAAACGAAATTGGCTCATATCTGCCTGAAATTAGTTCATTTCTAGACGGAGCCATGAAAATGACAATTTTCCGGTAACCAAGTATTGTTCCGGTGAAAAATGAGGGGATCTATTCAGAGATAAGGACTTGTATTGTCAGTTTCCGGCTACTCAGGTGTCAGATTTTCGGACTTCCTGAGAAAGAAATGGTTTCGTTACCTTGAAAATGGACGTTTCTTCTTGTTGATCGATTAGGAGGGGCTCTACTCTGCAAATCTCCGCAAGATGAAGAGAGAAAGCTTTGAGAGTGGCGAAATGGGAAATTTCAAAATGAAATTTGGGCGGTACTTATACAAAATTAAATTTTAAAACAATTTTTTACTCAAATAATAATAATTATTATAAATATACCCGCAGGTGCAGGAAAGAAACTCGTGTGCATCCTTTTCTGTTCTATGGGGTCACTGGTCAAACTGGTCTAAATACATATACTATCTAATTTTTTTTTTCATATCCAATTTTGGGTTAAAGTCCAACAATCAAAGTGAGAAATATATTCATGATATTTGGCTATTGCCAAGAAGGAAAAAAAAAAATATCATGATATTTGAAATAATAATAAAAAAACACCTTATATTTGGAAAAAATCAAGAAATACTGAAAAAATGTAGTATTGAATAATTTTAATTATTCATAATATTAAAGTTAAAAAGTGATGCATAATTTTGAGATCCAATTACTTGAGAATTTTGCTTTTGAATTTAAACCCTGTTTTGCTTGGACTATAGTAGCAACAATCTCAAGTTCTCCGCATTTTTCTTACCATTAATTTCAGAAAATTATTGAACTTCTAAAGTTGTGATGAATTGTGCAATCCATCATATTATTTGTTGTTATTGAATTTTAGATATAATTCGTATTTTTTAGTAATTCCAAAATTTTCAGAAATTATAGTTCATATTTATAAATTTCTCAACATCACCTTTATAGCTCGAATTTTGTGGTGTAATTCCAAATGGTTCCTGATATTTTCCTGAATATCTCTGCAATTATAAATATCAATTTGTTATTGCCCAATGATCCAACATTATTCAAGAATATCAATTTGTTCCTTTCCTCAATTGCCCAGTTAATGAAGCTCTTTTAATATAAACAAATAATTCCATCATTTTCAGGACAAAAGATTCAGGAGAATAATACAATTTAGGCTGCTTTCCAAGGAGTGAGGATGGTTTTGATCAGATACACATTCATTTCAAATCAGGGGACACAAAAATAAAAAAATAAAAATAAAAAACTCTACACCCCTTTCAATGCACATTTCATAGTTGATACCAATACTCTTTTTTCACAATAGCTAGCTTTTTGTTGAAGCATATGTAGCCCAAATGAACAACATATTCCAAAAAAAAAAAAAAGAAAAAGAAAAGAAAAGAAACAAAAAAGAAAAAGATAGAAAGTGAAGATCAGGATGACATGCAACAGCCACCCTTCTTTCCAGAATCTGGCTCCTGTTTAGGAATAAAAATCGTCGTGCCCTTGAGAGACCCCGACTTCAAGTGGTCCCCACCGTCATTGGCAGTAAGAGACTTCTTGCTGATGATCCGGTATATTTCTGATAGCACCCTCAGAAATGCAGTTTCAACGTTGGTGGCATCTAGTGCCGAGGTCTCCATAAAGTATAGATTCTCTCTTTCTGCAAACTCCTGGGCATCTTCAACTGGTACTGCCCTTAGACTTCCCAAGTCACACTTGTTGCCAATAAGCATAATAATAATACTCTTATCGGCATGCCCTCTTAATTCCTCTAGCCATCTTGCCATGTGCTCAAATGATTGACGCTTTGTCATGTCATACACTAACAATGCACCAACTGCACCTCGGTAGTATGCACTTGTCACTGCTCGATACCTGAGGAGACACAGTAGATACCATAAGACCTCCTATAAAGGGAAAATAAAGCTTGAATAAATTGTGAATTGCATTAACACACAAATTTAGAGCATGTAAGGAGTCAAACAATTTTGCTCAATTAGGTCAGGTTGGGTCCAACAACTAAAGGGTATAGATCCCATCAAAGTAGTTGGCTGGTACATCAGCTCAAATTTTGGTAACTTTACAAAGAATATGTGTAATTTGTGATGGAAGATAAGCAGAATTTGAACATCTTTAGAAGACAACAAACAGGTACATCAGAATTTGATTCAACTATAGTTATGACCTTAGATGAAAACAGAATTACAAAACGGGATTCATATAGCTGAGCCTTAATAATAGGGTCAAGACTTTGTAGAGTTGTTTCCATAACACCAATCATAGCCTAAAAATAAAAAGGAAAACCTTTTCCCACTTATCTACACCCCAGAGTTGCTATATGAATTTTTCTCTCACAACCATCAAATTCCCTTAAATACACAAGAAGATGAGAGCTAAGAGCCAACGTGTTTCAACAAAAAAACACAAATTATCCCACAAAGCTGCTATGCTTACTATTAGGTTAAGCAACTGCTAAAGTAATGGCAAAGTATGTCTACTACTGTTAATTGTTAATACAGTTAGAACCTATAGAGAAAGAGAGAGACTACAGTTTCAAACCCCTCGATATATACACACAACTATATACTGGTGCAATCCAAGATTTCAAAGCCAATAATTATATTTCCTCAGCAGTGCATCCCTAAAGCGCCTTGATACTTTGAATTTAAAAGGTCATCATTAGGCTTGTGAGTTATGCCTTGCAAGCCATGGTGCAAAACAAAGCTGCAACTTATGTGCCTTGTTAAGCCCACCAAATGTGAGGTGAATGCCTCAGTATTTAAAAAATAAATAACATTTAAAAAAGGGTTAACCATGTTTCACTCTCCCCTACTAGAATGGTGCACACATTAATTCAGATGCCATTTGATGCATGCATGAAATGAAGTTTCAAAACAATGTCACTTTAGAAGTTGATAGACTTATTTGGATTCAAATTAATATAAATTCCGCAGCTGAGGTTCTGTTGTTATATAGAACTGCTGCAATCTATGCTCTAAAAAGTCCATAACAAATTTATCACTCTATGCTTTTCAAAATCTAGTACTAAAATGCTCAACTCATACGCCTTGAGGCTTGTGCGCCATTAAGTCCCACTAACTTTCCACCTTCAAAGACTAGGCATGATTAGGAGAACTATGAATAGAGCATGACAGGGGAGTTACTTTTTTATATGTATATATAATGTAATTTTAATATATGGGGTGAGAAGTAGACAGCAAAGAGATCTTGAGAACCACTTTAATTAGTAGGCAACCAGAATTTAAATCAAATAACAAAACTGAAGATCAATGACATGAAAGAATAATGTGCGCAAAAAGATCAGCATTTGTTTTAGCTTACACTACTTATTTGAGGGCACATAGGAGCGATGGCTAAAAAAATTGGAATATTTTGATAAATGAGATGACGACGGAAAAAAATTGAATAGACAAGCCAATATCTAATAAAACACAAGGTCATACAGTTTAAATTATCAGCTTGTGATGCAAGGAAATTATTTGGAAAGTCAATCAATCATTAAATGACCTTTGAAGTGCTAAATGTATGATAGTGAATGTGAAGATTATGGTAGGCGTAAATGGTGTTCACTTCCTGTATCTGGAGAATTTGGTGGAATCATAATCAAGTGCTCTATTCTGAAGCAGGACAAAGTGCTGCGCATGTGGCTAAAGATGTTTTTCTTTAAGTCCTAGATATGTTGAAAAGTAATGTGGCTGATATTTACAATTATAGAGAGGAATAACCTGATTGGGCCATGTTTTCATTGCCTTCTGGTTTGCTGAAAGGAGCTTGTATGATCTGTCGGTTGCTTGGATTTGTGGCAGTATAACTGGGGAGACAATTGTTTTGATCCCGATGGGATCTGTTTACTTGGTACTCATCTTTGGAGAAGTTGGTGGATTTGCTTAAATGGAGGTTTATTTCTTGTTTGGGGATTCTGGAAGTGGTTTTTTCCCCCACTGAGTTTGTTATGAGTTGTTGATGTTTTGTTAACTTGTGAACTGGTTTTATAATCAGTATTTGTTATTTAGGGGCCTGTTCTCTTTGTACTGCTTGATTAATAAAATCTTGAAAAAAAAAAAAAAAAAAAAAATTATGATCGGCGTCTCTCTAACAAAGTGGCAAATGTCCATAAATAGATGAATTCATGACTTAAAGTATAGTGAACGACTCAATCCACAAATTTAATCTATATACCACTATTAGAAAAATTAACATATAAGTTGTAAACTTAACTATCAACCAGCCTAGCAACCTTAACAAGAATAGGATGCATTAATGACTTCATCACAAAATAACGAAAAACAAGTGTTAACCAAGCAAATTATATACATGTATATAATTATATATATATGATGTAAAAGACGCACATAAACTATACCAGTGAGGGAGGCCGTCCAACTTATCCTTCTTCATAAGAGTAAGAGGAGAAATCCAGTTGCAGGGAATAAGATTCCAGAAATTTTGGATCAGTTTAGGTTGAAGTATGCAAGCAGTTGCAGGAAATCCAATGCATACAATTAATTAATGTATTCATTAAAATAAAAGATAATCCCAAATGTTAGGGCCTGTACCCATTCCGCCTCTCAGCAGCATCCTCAATTAATGGGGACTGCATTAGGTAATGGCATTTTATTAGAGTATTGACTAAAATGATCAATCCAAAAATGCAGTCAAAATTATTATTTTTTGTAACCTCTCTCTCCAATATATATATCCAAAAATGCAGTCAAAATTATTATTTTTTGTAACCTCTCTCTCCAATACATATATATATATATTGGAGAGAGAGGTTACAAAAAATAATAATTTTGACTGCATTTTTGTATTACTCTTCACCCTGAGTGTTGGCGTGTTGCTGTCCGTTTTGAGGTTCTTTACAGCGAGTGTCAATGTATATAATCATTTCCTGCTAGCTAGCCATCATTGACATTCGACTTTCTCATTTGATCATAAAATTGCATAGCTTTAGTATAAAACATAATTGGGTCTCTAAATTAGTTACTAGCGTCGCATTTCTCTCTTCTTCTTCTTTTATTATTTTTTATTTTTTCCCAACCATGTGAGGATTCCATCATCATCATGCTTGACCTAATCCCATATGAATGGGGTCGACTACATGAATTATCTCTCTCGAATCTTTTCTGTTACATGTCATTTCACCTACCATTTAACTTTTAAAAACCATATTTAATAACCCCATCCCATGTTATCTTTGGTTGCCCTCTCCTTCTTTTACCTCTATTACAACTAATCTCCCTCATTCAACCCGCGCATCTCTAGGTCTCTGATATATGTGTTCAAACCATCTAAACCTACTCTCTCTAATTTTCTCCCCAATGGGTGCTGCACCTAATTTCTATCTCACACTTTCATTAGTGATGTGAGGATTCTGTTATGTTATGAATTTTGGAAATGATTTCACAGTATTCAATCAAAGTAAGATTAGATTTAACTGCTTTTGTTTGGGATGCCAGTTCCACTCTATATTTAGATAGTAATTCAACATTGCCACAAAATAAACAAAAACTCAACAACAAATTAACAATTATTTAACTATTAGCCATGAATAAATTGAAATTGAAACTCAACAACAAACAAGAAGGCAAACCTCTCTTGGCCAGCAGTGTCCCAAATCTGTGCCTTCACAGTCTTGTGATCAATAACAATGGTTTTTGTCTGGAATTCCACCCCAATAGTCGCTTTTGAATCCAAACTGAACTCATTCCTCGCAAACCGCGACAATAGCTGAGTTTTCCCAACAGCCGAGTCCCCAATTAACACCACCTTAAATACATAATCAATCTTTTGATTAAAATCTCCATACAAATTCGACATTCTCAAACCCAATCAAATCCCTCTCAAATCCACAAATTTGAACCTAAAACGTTGGGTTATTATAAACCCAGGGAGTTAACAAAAACTCGCACTCAATCAATTAATCAGTCAGGAAAGAATCTGAATGTGATCTAAAGTTTATATATTATGCAAATCCGAGAATTAAAATAAAATTAAAATTAAAAAAAAAAAAAAAAAAGTTTAAGAAAACCGAGGGTTAGGATTTTCTGGGGGCACTCTGAGAATTGAAAACTAGGGTTAGGGTTTGGGGATGCAAAATCAGAAGAGAGGGAGAATTTTGGACATGATGGTGGAAGAAGGTGTGATCCAAAGAAGAGTTTAGAGAGAGAAGTTTTAACAATAGCTGGAAGAACAACGGCTAGTGCGGGACCAAGTAACGGTTTTTTTTGGTGGGCAAGAGAACATTTTTACGTGTATTTATGGTGCACTACATTGAGCGTGGAGGATCTGAGCCGTTAGTTATGTACTCAACGCAATTTGATCTTTTCAATCATCAAAGGATAGATGATGGATTTGAGAGGGTGATGATCGGGTGGGCCACCTCATCAACGAGGAGGTTGATGTTTTGATGAGGTTAAGTATGAACTTTGACAATCTACCCAATGATTTGTTCCTACGTACCATTAGAATAAAAGAAAGGGTGAACCGTTTCAATTGGTTTGGTGGAATGGGTAATGGGTAAGTTGGGTAATAGATGTTTCAACTACTTCGATAAAAATCATTACAACCCTAAACCACACACTGCAACTCTCGCACCAATCAAATAATAAAAGACCACCCGTCACTTGTTCAATTTCTGGATCCCTCACAATTTTTCTTCAGTGCTCATCAAATGGGAACGTTGTGTAATAAATTATTAGATGCTCTAAAAAAAAACCTCATTTCATCACCGTCGTTGATAATAATAAATAAATAAATAAATAAAAACTCTTTTGGTGTCGAGCATGCACCATCAAATTAAACATATTGTACAAAAGTTTTCATCAAATATGTTACATTGATGTTTTCTTCAGTATTGTATAATTTTAGCGTTCTCGGTATAATATATTGTTTTCACAATTATTACACAAGAGAAGATCCTGATAATTTTTACGACGTCGGTAGAATATCACCGATCAAACATTCTCTACGACCTATTATTATCCATAAGTTCATAAGCAAAATTATCTTCTAGTTGTTTCTACTTTAATTTTAATGTACTAGTGTTTGAAATACCCAAGTGCTCAGAGAAACTTATTATTTTTTTTACGCAATAATACAAGTAAAAAAGCAGATGTTCAGTTTCTATTTATGCGTAGAAATGACGAAGGATTATCCAAAAAACAGTGGGGTAGAAGGAAATATGGTCACGTGAAAATGCCTTTTAGGTGTGTGGGACTGCTGTCTGTGGTAGAGAGAGCTAAAAAGAAGCAAAAATCGAAGTCAGTAATTGGGAGTCAGTACAATTGTTTAATATCAAATCAGATCATTTCATGTCTCGCTGACCTAAAAAAATACTAGCATAACATGTCAATCTTGTCCTCTGGGCAAACATGCCATGTTATGCTTGTTAGGTCAAAAGATTTACTCACACACATCTTGAGATTACTTCCTCTCTATGAGAACATCTCAAAAGATAAATTGATTAGTACAAAAAAGACCTGCATTAGTGATTAGACCAACCCTACATCCAATGATTGTTCATAAGCAAAATAGCAGCACCTTCAAACATATCAGAAGTCAGCAAAAACATAGAAAGCTTTACAACACATTCACTGAGATCTAAGGCGATCAAGACTCTCAGAAACCGTCTTCATCCTAGGCCGCATCTCTGGGTCTAGTTCTGTGCAGTCAAGCGCGATATGAAATGCTGCTACAACTTGTTTCTTTGCATGTACCTCATGCAGAAGACCTGGGTCTATAATCTCAGACAAGGGGCGTTCCTCTCGAAACACCTTCCTCACAAGGCTCTCTAAACCCTTACCATCGTTTTCTGGTCCTGCATCTGGCAGTCGGCCGGTTAATATCTCCAAAAGCACGATTCCAAAAGAGTACACATCACATTTTTGCGTGAACCGGCTATTGGCAACTCGAGTTTCAGGTGCTGTGTAGATAATGGGAGCTGAACTCTTTGAACTTATTATGCTACGGTTTGAGTTTTGTCTTTTGAATGCAGCATTGGTGGATTTAGAGGAGCAGGAGACAAGACGGCCGAGTCCAAAACCAGATACGTAAGGCTGGAGATCATCATCAAGAAGGATTTTTGATGATTTTATGTTTCCGTGAATAAATTTCCTAGGGCTGCATTCATGAATGTACATTAGACCCCTTGCAGTCCCTTGAGCAATCTTCAATCTTGAAGCCCACGATAAAGCTGGCAAAATATTGGCAGGCCCGCCTTCAATGTTTAAAACCAAGACACAGTAAACTTTGATCAGTGGTGATAAGTGTTGCTTCCTCTAAAAGAGAACTGAAGATTATAAAATACAAATGGCCAATATTGAAGTGCTGTCAAATAAGCTTTAAATTCTGAACGGACCTGAAGAACACAATTAATTTACTCGCAATTAAGTAAACAAGAAGCACTAAATTTGTCCAACTCTACATAGAAAAATAAAATAACTCTCCATTTAACAATGCGTAATTGCAATTGTGTATGAAATTGCTTTCTTTTACAATTAGAAAAATGAAATTTACTAAAATCCGAGTCAAAGCATAAAAAACATGTGGCATGAAAACCTTGAGGACCAGCAAATGCAATTTTGAACTCAATTATTCTGCAAGTGGTCCATTTTTCTTGTGACATGTCATTTAAAGTGAAAACTTTGGTCGCATATAAACATAGCCTGGGTTGGGGACCATTTCCATTAACAGGTATTGTTCAGGCCTAAGGAGAGAAGAAGATACACAGTAAGAACTAGAAGGAGAGAAGAAGACACACAGAAAGAAGAAACATATGTACCAGAAAATGATTCATCCTTGAGACAATAGAGACAAAACACACTCTGAGGAAGTTGCAGCCAACTGATTCACTAGCACTAACACCCAAAAGAGCCAAACCACATACTGTTTTCATAAACAACACAAATGCCAAAAAAGAAGTAGAAGACAAGTTCAATAATAGAAGCTTAAAAATATGACTAGCTGTGTTTCAACCACCAGTTTGAATCAGCTCTTAATGCAAAATTTCACATATACCCCTGAACCAAAAACAAAAAACTGAGAAGTCACAAGGGAAGCAAACTTTACTGTTCAAGTGAAATGAGGATAGGTGCCTACATAATGAGGAGTATTTCAATGATCTTCCTAGTGACAAATCCAGATTAGGCGCAAAACCCAAAAACTCAATATCTAGCCCAAAATTGCGTAAAGTATGAAACAATCACAATATAAAATAATGGCGCCTCTCCCTACCCCCAGTTTCAGTGAAGTGCGACACTCAATGGAACAAGATCCAAATGCTATGCATCACACATCAGACTATTACATTTCAATGTGGGATCTGAATGCAATTTTTGTCAGTATAAAATTTAGGGCTCACCAAATCAATGTCTTGAATGCATTTTCACACTAAGTGTATGCACATGTGTGAATTTGTGCATTGCAGAGGACATTTTAGGTTTGACAGAAATCTATAATATTTATCAACAGTCATTCTCACAGCCTTTTGTTCTGAACAAAAATCAGATCCCACATTTTTTTAGGAGCATGCGTGAATAAAAACAAACACAAAGGTGGTGAATGTGCTGAAAATCACATAAATTTAAGATTTTAGCCTTATTTTTCAAAAATGAAGAACAGTATGAGTGGCTTGATGTAGATGGAGTCAGTCTCCACTCAAATTTCAAGCTCAATGGACCCGATATTATGTCCTCCAGGGTGTAGGAAACAAAGGGAAAATGCCATGAAGGTTGAGAAGTCATTGGATGGGAAATCATCAACATAATAAGAGAGGATCAGAAGATTTTAAAACAGAGTCAATAAAGACAGAAAATAGTGAAAACATTGCAGGTTACTCGGTTTATGGGCACAAACAAACACAAAATTGCAACTCGTGACCTAAAAAGTCTGTAACATGTACAGTTTTTGTCAACAACCACTAAAGAAAATTAGAAAGATCAAAACAGAGGGATTACATGGTAAACATTTTGAGATATAGAACTAGAACAAGTGTGTAACGTGGCACTTCTTTGGCCAATAACTTTTTTCTCTTGTGGCACTTCTTTGACCTATAAATTTTCTCTCTTCTCTATCATGCTTATCTATAACTGAAAAACAAACTCTAGAGAGGACACTATGCTTCCAACAGTTGTTGGAATCAAGTTGAAGAAGTAGAACAACAGTGCAGCAATAGATGACCTAGAAAATAGAGCATATGAATTGCACATTACCATGAATATTGCTTTATAAATTCACTCTCTTTAATGCTTCATTAGTTAGGACGGAACGAAGAAAGGTGAAGAAAAGATAGGAGGGAAGGAATAAACGTGGATAATAGGATGGGTGAGTCAGCCTTCCTCCTTCACAAATTTTTATCCCTCCAAATATGGACCGAATAGAGGAGGGAGTGGAGCTATTATAAAAATATAAATATCAGATAAAATTCAAATATGGGGTATTAGGGTACAAACAATTTAAAACTCTCTTGTTAGCTTTTCTCCGTACAAAAAAGGGGGAAAACAAGATCTCTTCTATAGGATATCTCATGCATCATCCCTTCTCCTCTACCTATCATCCAATTTTCTTTCTTTCTACCAAACAAAGCAATTGATATTGTGTTTGGATGCACCCTATCCACGCCTTGAATTTGGTATTTTAAAAAATATAATACAAATAATTAGTTTTCCTTTCTGCCGCTACATTTCTTGAACACAAGATTCAATTTTCCTTTCCTATTTATTCAAATAAGAGGGGGATCAAAATTTTCTTTCTTTTCCATCTTCTCTTTTCTTTTCGAAACTAAAGCCTTATTTATTTATTTATTTTCAGGTAAGAGAGGCAAATTAAAAGTTAGAGATGCCAAAACTCAAAGTGAGAATCTCAACGGAAAGCAACTCACCCACGAGACTACAAAGGCATTGGCAAACTAAAGCCGTATTACAAGTACCATTAGATACTTCAGCATTATAGAAAAAATAAATAAATAAACAATCACCAAACACAATTTTAAAAACCACTAGAAGGGAAAGAATGTTACCATGTAGCGCAGTGTACAAGCTTCCATTGCGGATGAAATCAGAAACCAGCAGTTTCTCATCATTGGCATAGTAATAAGCTCTCAGCCGCACGATATTGTGATGCTGGACCCTCCCGATTGCCTCCACCTCCGATTCGAACTCCTTGAACCGCCACGTGCCATCACCCTCACTCAAGCGCCTCACAGCAACAACTGTACCCGCCACACCAGATCCTTTCCCCACGACCACCTTGTAGACAATGCCACTCTTGCTCTTCCCCACCACGTACGCCGATGCCCTCAACAAATCCTCTAATTCCAACCCAAACCCTTCATCCACCACCATGAATTTACCTTTTTGCCCCTCCTCGCTAACTTCTTCCTCCTCCTGCTTCTCTTTTCCCATTTTGCCCTCGTCAGATGTCCATTTTTTCCGAAACACCCAGACCGAAACAAAGAGGACCCCGACAATCACCGAAACGCCCGAAATCAATGGTACCGCCACCGAACCATTTTTCACTTTCTCTCTCTCTCCAAACCCATTCAAGCTGGGGTTTTTAGGGTTCTCAGGGTTCGATTGAAGTCTAGGGTTTTGAGCTTCTGGGTCTGCGCATGGCGTTTGTAACGGAAACCCACAGAGGTTAGGGTTTCCAGAGAAAGCAGTGGGGCCCTGATTCAGCAGTGAGCCCACCTGTGGTATTTTTCCTGTGAGGTTGTTGTGCCGGAGATCCAAGCTCACCATCACCGGAAACTGTCCGTACGACGGCGGGACTTCGCCGGAGAAATGGTTGTAGGACAGATTTAGTGTGCCGGTGAGCTGTGTCAGATTGCTGAGGTCCTCCGGCAGTGACCCATTGAGGAGATTGGAGGATAGATCCAAGTGGGTTAGGATTTGGAGGGTGGTTATCTGGTGCGGAATGGATCCGGCGAGAGCGTTGTGAGAGAGGTCTAGAGAGAGAAGATTGGTGGCGTTGAAGAGGCGGGAGGGGATGAGTTTGGAGAAGTTGTTGTGAGAGAGAGTGAGTCGTCGGAGAGAGACGAGTAAGCCTAGTTCGGATGGGATGTACCCAGTGAAGCTCTTGTTGGAAAGAGAAATACCGGTAACTCGGTGGTCGCGATCGCAGGCGATTCCGGCCCAGTGACACGGAGTTGAATCGGAGTCGGACCAGGTGTCGAGAACGCGAGTTGGGTCGGTGGTTATGGCGGCTTTAAGTGCCAGAAGAGAGAGGCCATCGGAATTGAGTGAAGAAGAGAGAGAAATGAAGAAGAGAAGGAAACAAACGAGCCCAACTTCAACAGATATAGAGTTCATGATTTCAATGCAATGAGAGTTTCATGGGCTTGCTTAGACTGTGATCGTCATCACTGCAACGAGAAGTTGCACAGAGAGAGAGAGAGAGAGAGAGAGAGAGGAGAGAGACAAGAAGACGAAGTGTAATTTGAACTTCAGGTGGGTTGTTATCGAGATGCCTCAGTAGGGGTAACATGCCTAATGCAGTTTGAATTTTTTTTTTTTACTATTGACTGTAGCCTTAATGATTCTATATATATATATATATATATATTTGGATTAAATGCATTAAAACCCCGGTCTCAATTGCAAAAAATCTCCCTGAAGTAAGTAAAGCCTCTTAACTATTATTTTGTTGCATTTAGTGATACACCGTAAAGAGGCATAAACGGAAAACGAAATTACCATTTAACCCTAACTTTGACGTCGTCGTGTTACTTACTGCTAGAAAGAGGTTGCAGAGATCAGCGGTCACTATTATATGAAAAGGAACATCTTGAATGTGACCGATCATCTCCAATTTTATTGCAATCAAGGACAAAGCTTCATGCCTGCTTCAAAGCGCAATCAAACTCTGCATCCGTATCTTCATCTAGATCATCGAATCGTTCGTTTGAGAATTGGTTGGGCTATTTCGCCGAAGATGGCTAGTTTTAGTTCTCAATCGATTAAAAAACAAAGTCAGATAGAGAGAGAGTTGTGATTCAGTTACTAATTTTGTCATTGCTGGGTATTCATTTGCAGAATTTATCCGAAATATGTAGTGGTGGTTTTAGGGTGTGGATGGTGGTGGCGACGCCTTTATTTTCTCTCTCCCTTGATATCCGCTGCCGATTGTGGGGTTGGGTGGTGGCTGCGGTGATGTCGGTGTGGGGGTGGTGGCGCTACCGTGGTTGAAAGGTGGACATGGTGGTGGCAGTTACAATGAAGGGATGGTGGTGCGTGGAGGCCAGGTGGCTGTAGTAACGTTGTTAATGGTGGTGCGCGGCGGTGGTTGTAAATGGACATGGTTGCGATTGGTCTTCCCTACATGCATGGGAAAAAGCTTAACCCAAAGTTCACAAGAACAATTACAGAGGTTCAATATAATTCTTTGTGTTTTGTTAATTTGTCTAAGGTATGTTAATATACAACATATAATCGGCCATATTCCCAAATCATGTACCAGAAGCGGCCTTAAGACTTCAAAATGACGATGAAGAAAGTGGCCTTAAAGGCGAGACAAACGACGGTGAAGAAAGCTCCAATGAAGACAATCAGAGATTATTTCAGCGGTGGTGAGGACAACGCCGATTAGGCAGATGGGCATAAGGCTGTGTTTGGGCATAACTCATAAGCTTATGCTTGGCAAGGGTAATAATGTCTTTTTGAAAAGATGGGTTGGTCACGTGACTCGCACAATCTATTTACCGTCATTGAATTAGCTGTAAATTAACGAAATGTTTTTTTTTTGCAACAAACAAAATAGTTTAGGGGGTTAAGTGTCATAACCATAGTTCAGGGGGGGTTCTTGGAAGAAAGAAGATTGTTCAGGGGAGTTTAATGCACTTAACCCTATATATTTTAATTATTGTTATTTTTACAGTTTTGCTTTCTTGCACCTTGGGTGAGAGAATCATTATTATCTAAATCTAATCTAGTTATGAATTAAATTAAAAAATTGATAATGATCCAAATTTAATAATCTTTATTTTTTATACGGAGTATTAATTATTTATCATTAAATATATAAATATTAATTTTGTTATTAATTTCTTTTTTATATATTATTAATTTATTTATTTGCATAATTATATTATACACCATCCTACAATTAATTTCTTTTCATTCCACTTAAGCATATACATGTTAATGAATTTATTATAATATTTAATCTAATAACTCGTTATCAATTCAAATTCAATAATTTATTATTTAAATATATTGAATATGAATTATGATTGGTGATATATCTGTATTTATATAATTACATATACTATTACTCTGCATTAATCATGTATGGAGTTTATATAATTCAAATAATTTTATATTATTTTTAGATTAAAAACTAAATACTACGGACCATACTAGAGATGTGGCTGGATTTATTGAAGTCCCTTATTAAGGCTATCATTGTTACTGCATTTAATTTGGTGACCCAGCAATTTTCACTTGAAAATTTACAAGCATAAAAAGCAATGTACCATCATAACCATATATATATATATATATATATATATATATTCACTGTTGATTGCATCGCTTTTATTGAGTGGTGTCAGAAAATCATTTACGGACCCATGCTCTTTCCATTCACCTTTGCAGTTTGGAGATTCCACTAACAAGGATACTTTGGTAAATCTGAAGAGATCTTTGTATTTAAAATTGATTGAAAGGAACTTCTCATAAAGTAATAATTTGTTTCTCCCGTTAGCGTTGTCTTGTATTCAAAACTCAGTTCAATTCACTAAACCTTTATTCATTTTTATTATTATTATTATTTTTTTTTTTTTGGCTTCTAGTCGATATGAGATTGTTTGTTTTTATGACTTTCAAATCATGGAGGAGTAACTATGCACCCTCAAAAATTTTTGTTTTGTTTTGTAACTTAATCATTTTATCGAAAAAAAAAAAAAAAAAAAAAAACCTGTTCTAAGTTCTCCCGGTTTCAGAACTTGTTAGAAACCACAAAGTTGAGATTTATTTCTATTTTTCAATTAATCAAAAAATTTTTTTTTTAATCAAACAATCAACTCAATATAAAGACTATAATTAATAATTGGTGACAAATCCTCCAAAAACTAATTAGTGACAAATCCTCCAAAAATAATCGAATTAAAAAGCATGGTCAGAGTCTCTCGGACTCTATAATCGTCCTATATAGATTCAAGACATTCAAGCTCAACTAAACATTTGGATACAACAATGCTGCAAAATGTTTAAAAATAAAATACAAATACAATGATGTCACGAATGTTTTGATATATAGAAATTAATAAATATATAAGCATCCATGAATAAACTTAAATAATACTATTGTTTGTGACGTTATGTACTAACATTTCCTTTGGCAAACAAGCTCAGATGTGAGAGTTCTATTGCATGAATAAATTTTGAACAAAATTAGTCATGATAATTGCTATGGATTTCAATAGTCATGATAATTGCTATGTATTTCAATAGTCATGATATATATATATATATATATATATATATATATATATAATTGAACTTTTCTTAGCAATTATACTATAATATTATTATATTTGAAAATGTTATATTTTGATGGTAGAAACTTATTAAATGAGTTTTGAAGTATCTAAGAAGAATCAAGTTACATTATCAAAATATCTTTAAAGTATAAGATGAGTGTTAGAAGTATATATATATATATATATATAAACTGATGAATGTATTTAAAAAGTACACAATAAGAGTACACCCCAGTTGAAAGTATCCCTGCTTCATAGCAAAACAAAAACGCCGGAGCTTAATCCAAATCTCAAAAGTCTCTTCAAACTCGTACCAATCCATTTGTTGGATTGTAACCATAGAATCCAAATACAACATATTTATATGAAATTGAATTATTTGTCCTTTCGGCCTGAATTATATTCTATCCAGACATTGGCTTAAATTATATTATAACCAGGGTCCTAGTGGACCCTACCACGAATAACAAACATTTGGCTGATCTCAGATTTCAGGTCACCAATCAGACAACTCGAACATAATCAGTCCTGTTTAGCAGTAAAAAATACCTCAGGCATCGACTATTAGCCCCAGTTTACCAATTAGTCCTCATTCTAAGTTGCTCCTCCACCCACCAACTTCAATCGCAGTTGTCACAGCCCCAAAGTAAGAATATCAAAAATATCAGGCCGCTGCTCCTATTCACAACAAAATTTATTTGTTAACTAGCATCATTTCCTTCACAAGGGTCATGAAAATGAGTGAAATACAAAAAAAATATATACATATGAATAGACTTATGTGATTGAATGGGTAAATTTAAGTTATTCACCAACCTTTTTTTTTCTCTCGCATTAGTGCTAAAGCCCTGATTTGGCACCCTGCTTCCCAGGAATCTGCAGGGCATCATAATGGCCAAAACCATGGTAGAGGACTCTGATAGGATTCTCCTTCCCATATTCTTGCCCATACTCGGCAATCGAAATCAGGCCACGAGAATCCTCATCATACATGTACACTGTGATTGGCATCCTGCAGTCATCACAACCATGGGTTCGCTCATTTCATTCCTCAACATTTTCTTTTATGACTTCAAAAATTTGAAACTAATTATAGAATATGCAATGTAATATGATGTATCAATGTCCAAGTCTATTTAAAGTGGGGGACACCAGTCCAAATGATATAACAACCTCTCCTTCGACCCCAGCAAAGTAAAAATAAAAAATTTAAAAAGCGAAGAGGCTGTCAGTGTCATTAATCCAAATGTCAGTTATACCAACTGAAGTGCACCACATTATAGCATGAATGGTCCTGCTGTTACCAAAGTGGACGAGAAATTTTGAATTGAGCAGTGCTGTGAGTAGGGCGCCCTCAATGAGGGCGCACCTTCATCACCGTTGGATCTAGTGGAGCTCGCTGAGGGTGCCTTCGTCACAGCATTTCCCATTTGAATTTCTGGCCGTAATAATTGCAGTGCCCCCCACATTGACATGCACTGTGTAATTGGCGACCAGATAAAACCAAAGAGCAGAGGTCTGCAATTTACACACACACACACACACATATATATAGAGAGAGAGAGAGAGACTTACTGGAGAACATGTGAAGCCATTAACAATTCGGGCTCACCTCCCCATACATGTGGCTTCCTCATTTTCGAAACATAAATGTCGAAATCACCTTCAATAAACCTGTTCATATTGCGGAGCCATCAACTGCCAAAAGTTCTAATAAAATTGAAAATGAGATCATCTTCTCCCTTAATAAGAAGAAAGGCACATAGTATTGAAGGAATAACACTCAGTTACACTCACCATTCTGTCTCTTTCCGTCTTCTGACAAATTCATCCGCGACCTGAAGTAGAAATCCATGACAAGGGATCATTAGTTACAGTTTTCTTTCTTAGGCAATAGCAATCTTGCTTGAGTGGCTACGGTTAGTTCAATGTAGTGGGTCGCATATCTAAATAGTCATTGATGCGTTCGTTTGACAAACCCAATTCACAAGATAGCAATCTAGCTATCTGTATTAAAAGATAGTGCACCAACCACTGTGCCTGGCAAGCAATCTTGCTTTCTAATAAAAAGTAATTCAAACTTAGTATTTTGATGATGAAGCAACATGGGGAACATACTCTAGCCCGTAATTCGTCTGCTAATTCTCTTTGAAGGCTGTCACTTGGAGTTGGTTTCCCTGATCGTAAACAAGCTCCATGAGCAACAGAGCGAAACAAACATCTTCCATCTCCGGGTATGCCTGCACAATGTGGAGGAGTTATCGCTTACCACAAAAAACAAAAAAAAAAAAATTGTGGTGAAATTATATACACAAAATGAATTCAACAAATACCAAATCAATATTCACAAAGGCTTTGCGATACCATCAACAGAAGGCATCAATTCATCATTTCCAAACTAAAAATCAAAAACAAAAAATAATAGTAGGAGATCAAAAAGACAACAAAAAGCCTAATAATACTGTACTGCTCACCTATAATTGAGTAGTCAGTGTAGACTTTCTTCCCATGTGAAAAGCCAACAGATGAGGAATCACAGTCATCTTCTTTGTTCTCCTTTGCCTGGGCTGATTCAGCATGTACTGGTTCAGGACTCGAATAACAAACCAATAATCCAAAAATTAGTCCAGCAGAAGCACATCCCCGTGCCCAAGAAGATACTGAACCCACACGACATTTGGTTTTTCGAATAGTTCTATGTTTCGGCGCTAAAAGCTTCATATTCATATCTTGGCACCCCCATGAAATATCAAAGCATGTCTTCTGGGAACTAACTATACTTCTAACCGTCAATGAATTCCAGTTGTCCCTCTGCTTGGAGTTGCTGGAACCAAAACAGCTTCCCTGAAATGCTCGAAAGCTAATTACAGATGAACAAGAATGTGCCTTGGAGACAGACATGTTAGCATATTTTGATCCGGAATGCCCACTGGAGACATGGAGACAACATGAACTAGATGGCACTTGAGACACCATAGCACAAACGACATTCCTCATCCGTCTTTGAACGTGTCCACTCAAGCGGACCACATTTCTTGCGCATCTACTGATGGGAAAGTAGACCACCATATTGGCATAGTCTGAGGTACATGCACAGCATACAGAGCCTTGCCAACTACCAAACAACGTCCAGTATATATCCACTCAAAGGCATCAGTGTTAACTGGTTCATAATACAGACATCTATTCTACATATAGGGCTCCATTTTATGTTTAAAATCTAACTATATACGAAGCTCGTAACTTAATTCTATACCACGTGTAGCATTAATATATTTTCATGCTTAGATGATCTAAAAATTATAAGCTCTCCTACAATAAAAATCATGCATAAATACTACCTCTTTTTTTTTTTGACATGACATGCATAAATACTCCTTTATAGAAAACATTCCTTACAGATGAGATGACTACCTATTTATTCATTCACGGACGTACACTTACAGTTACATCTCGTATAAAAAAATCTTCTTGATCATTCCTTCTCCAAATCTACTGCAACTTCGGCCCGACACTACAAAGATAGTCATGCATTTAACCTATATGAGAAGAAAATAATTAGAAATGGCTAATTATACAATGTTATGTATCCACAGATTCTACATTTACAGTTTATACTCCTCCGTGTTCCAAAGTGAACATTACTTAGCTATTTCTTCTTTTCAACAGTGTCCCTACTATAAAAGCATCATACATAGTAGCATATGCCAGCAAATAGCTAATTATAAACCTATTATTCAAAAAACAAAAATTAGCAGCTGGTACTGCCCTGTGCAATAAAGGAAAATTACAACTCAATTTTTTCATATAAATTACAATCAGGCCTCTAGCCTGGATGGAATGATCTCTCTTCCCAAAGGGGAGGTTGAGGGTTGGGTGTGCGTTTGCTTCAACTTCCCAAAAATATATATATTCTTATAAATTAGGTCAAATTATAAACTCTATAATCAAATCATTACTCCTTTATAGAAAACATTCCATATAGTCGAGATGACTGCAATGTATTTATTCATTCCATATAATCTGAGTCAAATTTTTAGAGGAAGTCTTCAAAAAAAAAAAGGCAAACTCCCATAGTTATCACGCCATGACCGCAATGAAGATTAAACCTTAGTTTGTGGGCAAAGATTGAACTTGTGCATAATTGTAGGCAAATTTACTAGAAAAAAGAGTAGTATTACTGACAGAGAATGAATAAATATCAAACAAGTACAATGGTTTCCATTTCCCAGCTATGACTCTTGGCAGAGCAGCGAATTCCAACAAATCCAAGAATGTCTATGCAAATAAAATAACAATATTAGACTAATAGTATTTATATTTATATATAAACAAACATACATAAACACACACACACATATATATATATACACGGACACATCACGCATATATTTATATATAAACAAACATACATAAACACACACACACACACACACACACATATATATATATATACGGACACATCACACATCTAGAAGTGTAGAATCAAATAAAAAATGAGGATGAGGATAAAGAAAACGAAACCTGTTAAATCCTTAAGGAACAAGTGAAGACATCAGATTGGAGGAGTGTAATCTAGCGTATTTGTGTGATATGATAAATCCAATGAGAATACCTATAATATTAATAACAAGAAAGCTACAGATTCGAATCAGCGTATTGAAGTTAGGAATTACCTGTAAATCTTTCTGAATTCGAAGAAAGGGATATATCTTTTATGCCTTCTTTAAGCTTCTTCTTTTCTTTCTTCTTCGTTGTGCGTGTGCCGTCGGAGTTACTGTCCCGGTTATTGCTCTCTCATTTAATTGGGCATTATTCAGAACTCGCCAAATGCTTCCATCCAAACGCACCGCTAGGCGTTTGTTGAAAACGGCAGCGTTGCTCTATATACATGGTAACATGACGCTCCGGATGCTTTCCACCATAGAGCAAGTTATCTATTTACTTAAAAAAAAAAAAAAAAAAAAAAAAAAAAAAAACCTTTTAGTGTCACGTAAGTTAAAAATGATGACGTGATATTCTTTTTTTTTTTCCATATATTTTGAAACCCAATTATCTAATTCTCTGTATATTATTTTTTTATTAATTTAATTTAAAAATAAAATAAAAAATTTGAATTTGAATTGGTAATGAGGGTGGAATTGGGCATGTAAGAGTATTAGGATTAAGATGGATTTTCGTATTGAAAAAAATTTGAAGAATTCAAATTATAATTGGATTGCGGTGGTAATTCGAAATTATGAGATTGGTCGAAATTGGAGTAATAGAATGGAAGATGAGGATCCATAGAGATGAATGTTAAAAAAAATATTGAGAGACAAAATTATTGAAAATAAAATTTAATATTTATAGTGTAAATAATATAGTCATTTAAAATTATCATTGCAAGTTCCGTTTGTCTGTATTTTACTTTGTATCAATTGATTGATACAAGACAGAACACAGTCAATTATGCAAACAAAAAAAAATTGACGGATTCTCCAAAGCCCACTCTGTTTACAGAGAACTCAACAGAAAGTAATTGTAAGGCCCACAAAAAAAACACTCTACTTGCTTCTGCGTGACCCCCTCTCTCTCTTCACTGACACATAGTCACTATAAAGTTCCTTGTGCCCCGAATGCTCTTACAAATTTAGTAGACCATTCAATCAGAATCAGAGATTTGGCTTCTTTTTAGTATATGTTATTGATCAAATTTTATAAAATAATATATATATATTTGTGCAATTTACTTTTTTTTCTTATTACCCATGCTAGACTTCAATTAAATTGATAGAATTAAAAAGGAAAAGAAAAGAAATTGAAAGATAGTGATTTTTATGTTTAGAGGACAACTTATTCCAATAGCAACTTAAATTACGTCTTTCATACTGGTAATACTGAAAGCAAACTTTGAAAAACATTCGAGCCCACCTTATTATTTGGGCATGATGGTAAATTATTTTAAATTTTTTTTTTTCCTTTCCTTCATTTTTTCTAAAAAAAACATGCTATTATTTTTTTTGTAATTTATATAAATATAAATAGAAGTTTTGTTATTTTTTATTTTCTTTTCTTTTAACTCATGTTACAATTTCTTTTATTATTTCTTTTATCCACACGATGTCTAAAAGTTTTTCAAATAACATCCTGCCAAAGTTAAGAATAGTAGTTTTATTAATGATAATGTTGATTTTAAAGTTATACCCCGTCTGGAGGCCAACAATTAAACATGTGACATGTCAATCATCCAAAAATGAAATAACCAATTTACCCCTAAAAACTTTGTGTGTTCCATCTCTCCACCCCGGCCTCTTTCTCTCTATTCCGTCACCACCTCCCAAGTGGAAGTACCATAATTACCGGCCCTGTTTAATAGTACTGTTCAGTGAAAATCACAATCTCCACCCATTGTTTTGGTGGCGGCAACGAAGCAATTGATGATGGGTTTTCTCGCATACCTCGATATTTGGGTAAGAACGTCTGATATAACCTAACTTAATAGGTCACACCATCAAATTTTCTCATGCCATAAACGCAATTCAAACCAATGGAAGAGAATTTTGGAGCTCCCTGTGATTGTGGTTAGTGAATAGAGAGATGAACGAGGGTTGAGAGAGCTACATTTAAGGTTAGAATGGGGAAGAGAGATAATAAGGTGTTCAAATTATTAAGCATTAAATTCCAATCGAAGCCCAAATGATTTTGATCCGGTAAATTCAATGTATGTTTATTAAATCAATTAGAGAGCGTAAATTTAGATTGTATGGTCACATTGGTTAAGCGACAAAAAGGCTGACCAAAACTTACAAAGAAAGAGGTAATTAAAAACGATTTAAAAAAATTAAATTTAGTAGAAGATATAGCGTACAATAAAAATGAGTTCATGAGCGGACTCTATCCATATAAAATAAAGACAAGAATGATGATGAATTGTTGATTATACAACTAGAAATGATTTATTCTAGACGTTGAACACTCTAATGGATGGGTAGAGAGCAGAGAGGGAAGTAGAGAGAGCCATGGATGGGAGAGAGAGTGTGTAAAAGCCAGCTTAATGTAACGGGTAAATAAATCTGCAATCAAATACACAAAGTTTTGACAAATACTTTAAGTAGGAACAGAGCAAATCCGCATTGGAAGGGTTTTTCCCCAAAACAGGAAAAAACACAGATTATTTCGGTTAATCGATCAGGTACCTCCAAGTGTCTAGCTTGTCTATTTTATTCTCCTTTTTTGAATTTCTTGATAAGCTTGCTATTATGAAAACTAATGGAAATGTACTTTTCTGCCTTTGTTTTTCTTTGACTTGCCTTATCTATGTTCTTGTTCTAAGACTTGCATATTCTACTCTGTAATCTGTGAGAGAGTACAGGAAATTTTAGAGGAGGAGCTTCACAATCTCTTAAACAAGGGATCTTGCCGAGAATTTATAGCTTCACAGGGTTAGGATGGAACAAATCCATAGGAAATGCAATCTGCAGTTTCATGCCATGGCTTCCGAGACTGGAACGGAGGAGTTCCCAAATGACGGGAGCTAAAGGATGTGGCGGGGGCAACTGCTTCTTGATTGTTGATGGAATTGGGCTGGCCGCCTGGCAAAAGAGAGATGGGAATTCTGGTTATTCTTGCTTCAGCTCTCTGGGAAGAAAGAAATATTGTTGGAAAATGACGTTCGAAAAATAAAGTGACGAAGAATCTGATGATATCAACCATCCAAAAGAATTTATCAGAAACAAAGTAAGCATGTCTGAAGATTCCCATCCGAATGTAGGCACAGATCGATGTCGTGCAGACAAGCCGAGATTCACGTTCTGCACCAAGTTCCATGTAAGGACACGAAGGCTTTTCTTTTTTTCTTTTTAATCTGGAAACCATGTTGCAAGTCACAGGGTCAATTTTTCACACCAAAATCCTCACCCTATGATGGCTCTAAGCCACAAATAAAACACCTTCGATTTCTGACTTAGTCAGCCACTCAACACATGCACAGCATACAAATATAAGGCACAAGGGACACACAGCATTTACAGAGGCCAAAGCCTCCAACCTTCACTATTATTTCACGAAATAGTATAAGGATCCTCAATGCCTGACACAAGCTCACAAAGTGTATCTCACTCATGACAAGACACCACTGGAGCGTCCATGTTATACATTCTGCAAATTCTGTCTAGAAGAGGAACAAAAGTTCCACCCATCAATCTGCATAATCTATTCCTTGGCTGGAAGTGCAATTTAAAGACACGACTTAGAGCAGTTCAACAGCTTACCCTTGGAATTATATGTCAACACTGTTCACCTTTTTGCCTACTTTTGTTTTACAATAAACGCTCAGGTCGGAATGGTTAATCTTTTTTACCAACCCAAATAGTTCCCGGTTGTTCTTTTGTGGAACTGACTAGCTACCACCCCACCATAGAGAAGAATCGTTCCTCACACCAGTGAAACAAATGGAGCCAAAATATCACAGAAGTTTCTTCATGCTTTTCAACCTGTTTGATGCCCCTAAAAGAGTGAGGATAAGATGAAAAAGTGGCACACGGGAAATTTAAATTATTTTACAACTTCAGTGCAAATGAGAGAACCTAGTCACAGTAAATTCAAGAAGAGGACTTCTTGTCCAACAAAAGTGCCCAAATAGAACTTTAACAATTTTTTGCACTAGCCTAAATTTGTGTTACATTAATAAGCAAACAAATTAACTTAATCAATCAAAAAAAATTCAGGATGCAGTACCTAATAACTTATATTACCTGGAGAATAACCTGAAAATGTTAGGTGAGCTGCAGTACACTGACACAAAAGTACTACATTGAGAAGGCCAGCTCCTGAAAGACCTTCCCACTACGCTCAAAATTTCTGAACTCGTCAAAACTTGCACAACCAGAACACAGTACAATTGCATCCCCTGCATCTAAAAAAAAAAAAAAAAAATGTGATGATGTGCCTATATTCATATAACCCTCTGAAGTTTGAAAAACGTCCGTAGTAAGAAAAGAATGCAAATGAGAGCTTGTTATTAGATACTTATAAAAAAAAAAATGCATATAGATATATGGACATATATATCTCACTTTCTAAAATAAAAGAGATATTCCGATTATATCAAATCCACTCAAAAAAGACAAGAAAGGAATAGTGTTTAATTTTTCATTATAATCTGTTATGCTTTCATAGTGTTAAGTAAGGAATCAACGTGCTATATCCTACTCCAAATGGTATCAGAGCCTAAAAGATCTAGGATATATCCTACACCGAATGCTATCAGAACTAATAACTTATATTACCTGGAGCATAACCTGAAAATGTTAGGTGAAGCTGCAGTACACCGAGACAAAAGTGCTAAAATGAGAAGGCCAGCTCCTGAAAGATCTTCCCTCTATGCTCAAAATTTCTGAACTCATCAAAACTTGCACAACCAGGACACAGTACAATTGCATCCCCTGCATTTTTTTTTTAAAAAAAAGTGACAATTTTACATCCATGACGCCAATTCAGGAGTTCAGGTAAGAAATAACAAAAATATACTGAATCATCTGTATTAAGGTACTTCATTTAAAAAATAATAGCACGTAATAAAGAAGTGAAGTGCAAAAAAAAACCCCAGTTATACATATGGTGTATATAGCACTCTGAAGTTTATAAAACACCCCTGTAGTAAGAAAAGAGTGCAAATGAGAGCTTGTTGTTACTCTGCAGTTAACAGAGAAGAAAATTGGTTCAAATGCCCTTCTGTAATACGAGTGAAAAGCACCCCTTGGTTATACATATAGTGTATATAACTCCCTTGACTTTGCTTATGCTTATTTTGTTTGGATAGCTTCAACTGGTTCTGTTTTTTTCTTTTCTTCTTCTTCTTCCTTTTTTTAAAATAATAATAATAATAATAATAATGATGGATACTTCTTGGATGCTTATAAGATTAGTTTTATTTACCGTTACAAAGTTACACATTGAACACAGTTTATCAGTTGAACAAAATAATTTTAAGTGTAATGGATACAAAACAATTAAACAAAAGAAAAGAACATTGCAATATTACATGTCAAAAAACAAGTGTAATACCGACATAAAGTGTACTAAGTTCATGATACCCACAAAAGACAAGATGAATAAATATAAAACTAGTAAACTACAAACAGTGCATTCATTATATGCCAAAAAAAACCCAGAACAAAATTTACAAAAAAATTAAAAATAAAAATAAAAAAATCATTATGTTGCCTCAGCAAGTAAATTACATGGGGGAAAAGGAAAAAAAAACACGTAAATTACATCAACCCTAAGGAGTGTTATACGCAATGCATAAAAAATCGATGGGTGTTTTTCGCACTCTACCTTATATATGTATGTACACTGGGGTATTTTGGGAATTAAGGGCCAACTCTTGGTCACGTGAAGTCGTGAACTAGGGACGGACCTTCATTATGGTCCGCTTCCACTGGATTATTTTTTTTATATTTCTATTCAATACCTATAATTTTTGTTAAAATCCTAAGATTGCTACCACTAAATTTTTTATAATACTTTATTGCATATACTTGCTCTCACTAAAATTTTAGGTACGAAAAAAGGGTAATACACTGTATGAAAAATATAAGATGTTTTTGCATTTTACCCCTAAATAAAGTTGCTAGAAGTCATCAGATAGATCATAGATCCGATATCTGACACAACTAAACATCAGAACATAATACAGTGTATTAGCAACATATTTACACTAAATTCAGTAATAATAAAGTTCAAATCCTTATTAGGGATTGTTATAATAGAGACATCTACCGACTACTGATGTGGAGAGAAGCTCTCTGAACCTGCAGTTCTGTACAAACTGCCTAGACTTAAGAATGGGTTACATTTTGGCAAACAATGGCCAAAGAGAAGATATGCACTTCAACTCTCTCTGAATCAAATTGATCTTCGATAATCTATAATAAAATCCAAAGGGCTGGAGAAAAGGAATAAGATAGAACCCAAATCAAGCACCAGGGAATTTCCGAAAATGGAAGGCGGCTCAGCATATGCCATAGCTAGAAACACTTAAGAAGTGCCAACAATAAGGTAGATCTCTTGCTCAAATATTTTGCATATTTCCCATGCCATCTGATTTATGATCTAAAAGATATCTTCCCCAAGGAGAGGAACCATCATGATGTTCTATTGTGGCATTAGGCAGTTAACGAAGATATAACCCTTCGTATTTTTTGCATCTGTTTCCAGAAAAAGTGTGTAAACTTTTGTGATTAATAAATGAAAAATATTCCCAACATAGATATCCAAATTCACATAGATAAATAATTAATATAACAAAGATAATACAGGAGCTTTAGAAAATTAAAAAAAATTAATATATAAAATACTACATGTGCTCCAATTCATATAACAATACAGGAGCTTTAGATAATTTAAATAAATAATTACTGCATGTGCTCCTATTCATACAACACACAAATGGTTTGAACAAGTTCTACCCAAATCTGCAAGAAAAATTTCTCCAGATTGGGAATAGGATATATTCAGAAACATTATGCTTGCTCAAGGAGAAAGCCAGCTGAAGCATGAGCTTTTCAGCACGTCTTAATAAAGCAAAATCCTGTATTAAATTAATGAGATAAGCACCCAAAAGAATTATTTCTGGCTGGATATTAGATTTCTCTTTATTCATCTGATAATTTTTCATTTCAGGTAGAAAGAATTTACTAAATTGGAACTCTGGGGGGAGGCAGAAAACTGTCTTTTTATTCACTAACAACAAACCTCACTGCTATAACCCCAACACAGCAATTGTATTTGTGAAGTTCCATTCAGTATCATTAACAAGAGTTTACAAACCTAATTACAGAGTTAAATTAACCCTTTTCTCCTAACAACACGACATGTCACGTAAATAATGTATAATTTTTTAATGAATTATTTTTTCAGAACAGATTATTAACATTATTCATTGATTCAAATAGGAAAAAAAAAATATGCTAAGTGACATTGCAGGACATTATTTGTGAAGTTCCATTCAGTATCATTAACAAGAGTCTACAAACCTAATTACAGACTTAATTTAACCCTTTTCTCCTAACAACACAACATGTCACATAAATAGTGTATAATTTTTTAATGAATTATTTTTTTAGAACAGATTATTCAACATTATTCATTGATTCGAAGAGAAAAAAAAAATGCTTAGTGACATAGTGCAGGACATTATTTGTGAAGTTCCATTCAGTATCATTAACAAGAGCCCACAAACCTAATTACAGAGTTAAATTAATCCTTTTCTCTTAACAACACAACATGTCACATAAATAATATATAACTTTTTAATGTATTATTTTTTCAGAACAGATTATTCAACATTATTCATTGATTCGAAGAGAAAAAAAAAATTTGCTAAGTGACATATTGCAGTAAATTATTGAATAAACGGACAAACCATATCTCGTCATATTTCTTGCCCTTTTCACAGCATCCTCCAGATTTGTAGCTCCAACACAGGGAATGCTTAAACCATTAGCAGACAGTATCTTTTGAATCATTGTTCCGGATGAACCAAACTTCACGAGATCATGCAAATGAGTTAGTAACTTAGTCCATGACCAAATCTGGAAAAATATCTGCAGAAGGCAAAACTAACAAACCGGATTCTAAAAACAAAACAGAAACATATTTTCTAAGACATGTGCAACAATACAACTTTATTCCACATGCAAGGAGGAGGGATTACATACAGTGACAACTCCTCTGTGGCATTTCAGAGGTTCTAACAACCGCTCAAAACCAATAGATCCTTGCATATCTAAAACCTACAAAACAAAAATATAATCGTAACTCATTTGGTTTTAAAAACAAATATATTAATGAACTATTAAGCTGCCTTACTGTCACATCATATAATCTTAGAAAATCTCTCACTATAGAAACTTAGCATGCACAAGTGGCCAACATAGACAATGAAACTGTCAACGGGAGGTCATAATATGATTTGTTACTTTCAACACAAACTACTTTCATATTGACAGGATAATAGGGCTGCAAAGCCTGCAAGTTTATGATTTCAATTTTTCTGCAACCGAGGAGAAACTCATTCTGAATGTACAATTTTTACACACAATCACTTAATGCTTGATATTTGGTTTCTGAAAATTTGTAACCTTTGCAAGGCCGCCGAGTAAAACTACCGATTTTTGTTCCCTAAGACTCAGTAGTCCAGTGTACGCTGCTTCAACATTTGTTGCCTTGCTGTCATCCACCCATGTTACCCCAAGAGTATCCTTGCGTACTGCATTAATGATATTATAACTCCTCATAGATGAGTCTCACATATTCACAAGCAAAGCAAATAAGCAAGTAAAAGTAGACATAAGATATCACTAAAGTTTGTTCAGGAAAAACTTATCAAAAAAAAAAAAGGTTTGTTCAGGAAAAAAGGAATAAACAAAAATAATAAATAAAAAAAGAATTTAGTCCAGGTTGAAACAGAAAAAAGTGGTCCAGTTTCTCAGCATGATTAATGAGATTGTTTAACAAAGTGGGGAACCAACTTTACACAATCTGAAAACTGTTGACTTATGCAATACATGGTCAAAGATCCCAAACTCCAATAAAACCATTTCATAATTACTGTTTTTGCTCAGTCAATACAATAGCACAAGTTCTCTTCCACAAAGGAAAATCAATGACGAGAACACTCTCACCAAGAGCTTTCGCACTCATCCGTTGGATTGAGAGCGCAGTGACGTCAAGCTCTCCCTTGAATAAAAATATATATATATAGAATATAAAGGGGGAATCTGTTTATAAGAAAAAATGGACCTAACTTCAAGAAACTTTCCTAAGATAACCTAAAAGAAAAGCATGATAACATTTTTGGAAAGTGATGCGGACAGGGAATTTTTTTTTTTTTGGGGGTGGGGGGGAATGTTGAAGAATAGTAAGTTTTTTTTTTTTTTTTTTTGGGACAAAATAACCGAACTATATTCTGATAGATAATATTTTCATTTATTATATTTACAATCGTCCTCGATAAATTTTTATATTAAGCAAGATTTTCAAATAAATTGAAGCGAAAAACTATGAATAGAAACAAAACAAATTCAAATGTGTGCATATGTTTTAGTGTACCTCTCATTCCCTCTTACAATGAATACTACAAAAAATTCCCAATAAATCAAATTAGTTATGACTCTACAAACCTAGAAAGTACTCGCTTGCAATAATTAAAAATTAATGAATGAAACTTGTCTTTGTATTGGAAATTTGAATTATTTTCACTTAGGCCCTCCAAATCAAAAACTAATTGATAATTTGATTGAAACAAATAAGGATATTCTACGCTTTACTATATCGGTCTTCACATTTTTCTAACGGGTGTATATTCATGAAGTAGCCAATGATGATTTATTTAAGGTTTTTTTTCATACCTTCTTAGATATTATGATCTTTCATTTAAGAGAGAATAGTTGAAAGGGAGCCAAGTAACATACGAAAAATAGGATTAAAAATGGAGATACAGAGTGTACAGTGGTCAGAGACAAAAAGATTAATTGGGGGCTTCAGATTAGAAGTGTTGGGGGCAGTTTTAGAAATTTTTAAAAAATTATATACAAAACAAAAAAACAAAAATTTGAGGCGGCGTGTGGGGGTAGTTTTAAGATTTTTTATACTAAAAATGAAAATATAGAAAAATTGAAAGGGCGTACCAAAAAAGTGTTGTTTTGTAAGTGATTCAAAATAGATCCTATTTCAAGTTCATTGATAAAATGCTTTTTTTTTTTTTTTTTTTTTTTTTTTTTTTCAGATTTATGGAATCAAATAAATGAGGAATGAATCGTTAAAAAATGAAAATGAGAAAAGAAATTTTATTTCGAGTACTATCCTTGGATTGAGGCTGGGCAAGTTTGGAGCAGTTTTAGAATTTTAATTTTTTTTAATATATAAAATGATATATATATAAATTTGGTGGGGTGGGGGTGGGGGTGGGTGGGGTGGACGTGTAGATCCGTCTTACAAAAATAAAATACCAAAAGAATATCCGAGGAATGTATAAAATAATGTAACTTTTTCTTTTGACAAGTGTCTAATATAACATAACTAAGATGACTTCAATCAGTTTCAACTTACCAATTTGCATCCTGTGTGGTGGAACCCTCAATTTCCCAATTGTTGAATTAATAGCTTCAGTGTCAATACCAATATCCAGACCAATAACAGATAATGCAGCCACTGCAGCGTTATAATAGTTGTGTGTCCCAATAGTCTTCATTGCATCCAATTGTAGTTGTGAAACACCTTCGATATTAGGGATTTCGAAGCTGGCAGTCTTTGCTTCCAAATCGATCTTTGCAACATAACTAATCAATGTTAGTAGCAGCAATAATTCTCAATAAATTAAGACCAAAATAAAAATACATGAGAGAGTTGCATCTGAGCCTCAGGCCACAGCACAAGTTTGTCTGCACTTTTCTTTGCTTTCCTTGTTGTTCTGAGCCTCAGACCATAACACAGGTGTGCCTGAACTTTACATATGCTTTCCTTTTTGTTTAAATGTATCTAAACAGATAGCCAGTGTTTAGCAGTACAAGACCCTCCACAAATACAGCTGATATTGGAACTTTTGGATCAGCAGTAAATTTTAGAAATAACTAAATTGTAGGAATCTCTTCAAATTGTTTAAAATTAAACCGTAAGCATCAAATGGTCCAAAATCAATTATCAGCAGTTCAAAACCCTTATATATGTCTTGGATGGATTTTGTTCATTTTTGGGTCTCCACATTCTAATTTAGAATGTATAAAGTAAATAGTGTGCTTTAAAAGGTCTGAGTATTCGGACCCATGATTTTCCCAGCATACATGACGAATAAAAGCTTTTACCTTGACACCTGGAAAGTCACCTATCCAAGCAGGATTAAATTTATTCATGCGATCCCTAACTGCTTCATTCAAATGCTGGTTTCCTGAATGGGATGATATGATAGGATGTCAAAAATAATGTGAATATATATGCACCACCTACATATAAATAACACATAAATATGAACCACACGAGGTGTGATTTACAAGTGAGGCAGATAAAAGACAGTGCTTCATCATCATGAAGGACCCTTTACATTTTCAACAAAGCTCTAAGAAACAAGAAAGTTCATGTTAGAATTTCCAGAAGAAGCATTCCAAGACCGCATAAAAATGCAACCCACAGCTTATTTTGCCCCTTTTCTTTCCTAGTTCAGCTCATTTTACCTTCCCTTGCTTTGCTTATTTAATTCTGAAAAAAATCGGGGTTTGTTTTTCAAAAATAAAAAATGATTTCATTTGTATTTCCAATTATCACCCGTGGTGACGAAGTGGTATACACAAAACCCAAATAACATCAATTAGCTGGTCTCATGTTCTTGTGGTAAGCAGCCCCGTTACTCATCAACGACACCCCCCCACCCACCCCAGAAAGAAAAAATAAAATAAAATAAAATAAAATAATCAAACAACAGCAATTGCCTGGTCTCATGTTCTTATGGTAACCAGACCCCTTACTCCTCAAACTCCCCCACCCCCAAGAAAAATGAAGAAGAAAAAAAAAAAAAAAAGTGGGTGGCAAAGGAGCATCAACAAGAATGAGGAAAGACGACATATAACAGAAGTAAATTACTTTCGTATAAATGATATATTGATATGTCACAGAATTGAATCAGACGGAATATATTAAATTTAGTTGAGAAACAAAAAAATAATACCAAGTGGGAGGACACACATCTTGCTGTCACACATGCGAGAAAAAATGCGACACTTAATCATTGCATAGTTCTTCATCGTCTTGTGCCTTTCCAAATGATCAGGAGTAAGATTTAAAATCAAGGCAACCTATAAATACATCCACTGAATTATTAAGGAAGTGGAAAAAAGGAACCAACATAATAGATGCCTGAATAGTTGTAACTCTAACTTCAAGCTGCTTACTGAAGGACAAAAGTGCTTGTTTGGAATTTCCAATTGATAACTGCTAACCTCCACCACAGCAACCTAAAAATAAACTTTTGTTAGGGTTAGAGACAATGAACTTTAACTTTAAAAAAATAAAAATAAAAAAATTCAATGTTTGATTATAGGTTCACGTGAAGCGGTAAAAGAAGAAGCTCGAGAAATGGGCAGTTGGTCTCATTACAAGGCACTTGGGACCTTGCATGGAGAGTTTTAGTATTAGCGGAGTCCTATATGATTACTTAATATTAGGATGCTGCGGGTTATTTTCTAATATTGTGTTTTAGGAGATGATATTTATAGTGTTTTGGTAATTTCAATAATTGTTGGACATGGACTGTGAAAGGAATTTGGGTTATATTTGCACCAATATATGTTATTAAATCTTCATATATACACACACGTGCGCGTATACACATTTATATAGGTTTTGTTAGTCAAAAACTCTAGTTCTGCATATGAAGTTAAAACTTTTAATGGAATTAAGACTTGCTAAAGATCTAACTACGGCTACGTAATTCTTTAAATTTAATGGAGAAATTTTCTTGTTAAAAAGAAAAAATAAAAGAAAAAAGTAGGTTGCCAGCAATTAAGTTATTTTGGGATTGTGTGATGCAACTCAAAACTTACCAGTGTAATGCCAATGCGAATCGAAATCCAATGCCTAGCCTATCATTATTCTCTTTTTTTTCTTCACTTTTTATGTGCTTTTAAAGCTTTTAGAAACTATAACCATATCTAATTAATCCTTAATTTGCTTTTATAACCCTATTGAACAAACATAACCTTAATTTGCTCTTATAACCCTATTGAACAAACGTAACAGGGATCCTTCTTTAACCATTCAAGCATAACATAGCCAAAATTGTTGTCCATGGGTAGTGTCCACAGCCTTGCAGCAGGTTATCCTTTTTCCCGAAATTCTAGCGAAACAAGTGAATCAACCTCAACCCTTCAACACCAAAATGTAACCCTTAGCATCCATACTTATAGTGCAAAACTCGAACGAGCCACAATATTTTGGTACCCAAGCAAAAGATCCTACCAGTTGTGAAGCCTTGATCATTATTGCATATAACAATGAATATCAGGAAAAGTAATTCTATTTGCATAGATTGTACTTCCACTCCGGTAACACAACACCATCTTGTTTATTTATTTGCTTACATTTTTTTAGGTGCTTATTATAGCAAATTCTTTTTGTCACAATGTGACTCCAATGAATATCCTTCTTGTATAACCTTGGTTATATGACCTTGACATACATCATTGTGGGAAACAAAATTGTTTTAAAGCCCATGAGTAGGAAAATGTAGCACTGCAACTGAAGAATGTTGTTGGAAATCAAAATTATATCTGCTCAAAGTTTCAATTAAAAGAAAATCATCAAAACCGAACCAAATTGAAACATGACCAGATTATCAAGCATGAAACAAACAAATTTGTAAGTACGAACCACTTTAATTGACCCCATTCTAGGAAGAAGATAAAACATGGATCATTATAAAGAGTCCAAGTCCTAATTAGAGTTAGGTACAACTAGAAGGCTAAAAGTTAATATGTACTCAATTCAATGGTGAATAAGTTTAAAAATTTGTGGAAGTGTGGATTATGTGATGCAATTCATAACCTAGATATGACACTTCAACTCATCCTATGTCATTGTGACATTACGAAGCAACAAATCGATATATATGAAGTAAAGATAAAACTATAAAGGGTGATGAGAAGGGAAAATCACAATGAACAATCAAGACTCGTGCTTACCTGAAACATGGGTTTTTCAAGAGAAGATGTTAAGCATTGGAAAGCTGCTTCTGAAAGTGGAATCCCAAGGTTTCCCCCGATAAAAGTCTTGATGTGCAAATAATTCAGCATCTGCCTTCAATATTCCAAGATAATACCATATCAATAAAAAAACACACCAATTCTTCTTATAGTTGAAACTTGAAAGCTTTTCAATACAATTGGCATCTCATCTAATATTGGCAATTACAATTTAACCACCCCATAATTTATTTTTTTTTGATAAGTAACCACCCCATAATTTCAGGACAACATATATAAATTAAGTAAATTTTATCTCAGGTGAATAGAGCAGTAATAGTATGCTCCACTTGAAATTAGCACATGTTGGAAACATTACTCTATAGAGTTTCTATTTTAGCCTGTGTAATTACTTAGTTCATCCTTTTAGTCAACAAATCTGTCTGCTTAAAAAAGTGGATACAATTGTAATCAAGGGTCCATGTCAAGTTCCAGAAAAAGTTAGCGACAAAATCATTGGCCATTTTGACTTTCCCTCTATAAATAAGGAAGCTTTCTTCTTTTTCAACAGCATTTGGTTTTGATACATCAAAGTATCAAAATAAAACATATAATATGAGAATTCATCTAATGTGTAAAAAGTATATTGAGTAAAACAAACAACAACCTGTCCGGCAAAAGTGGCAACAGTAGATTTCCCATTGGTTCCTGTCACTGCTAAAATCTTTGTGCATCTCGGAAGAACTTCAGCAGCAAAGTCCAATTCAGACATTACATTCTTTCCCTACATTGAGTGGAACACATTACCTAACCAGCACCAAAATTCACACAATTCATGGTAGTAGTGTAGTAACCATATATTAGTATCTGAAAAAAATAAAAAAAATAATAATAAAAGAAGAAGAAGAAGTGGCCAACAACACACGTGACACATCTATCTAATTGCTCACAGTTGTATGTGTTAGTGTACTCCTGTCAATGTGCTCAAGGATACTAATATCATAATATGTCTCATAACACATAAACAAGGACATATAATATCCAAAGAGGAGAGGGCCAAGATTTATGAAGACTTTGATGCACCCTAAATATAAACATATAGAGTTACACACCCATTTGCACTTGTAAATTACACAATTAATGTAGAAACCCAGTTGAGAGTAATTAATGTTAAAATTATTTGTTAAACAAGTGATATTACAATTAATTTGATGTATAAAGTAAGAATATGTGTCCACGCTTACTGACTGCAACAGCGAGGAGAGACCATAGTTTCCCAGAGGAATTCCAGGGGAAACAACCACTGTATCTGCATCTTTAAGTAGCTCGTTATCAAAATTACCAAGAATTGTTTTCAAACTACTATGTTTCTCGAACATAGGATTTTGCTGCAACCACAAAGCATTCATGACATCAAGATCACAGTGACAGGTGGAGATATCTACTTGACAAAAAGAATAAGAGAGAGTAACCGAAAGCAAGATCACAGAATATACCTCTAACAGACCCAAATTTTCATCATGGTCAACAGCCAGAACTGAAGCCCCTCTAGCAACAGCAAGTCTTGCAGCAGCTATTCCAGATTTCCCCAAACCGATAACCTACAATTACATTTGAAGCACAATATTGCATCGAAATAACTTCTTATTTACGCTTTTGAAATACCGAACAGTAACGAGAAAAAGCATTGAAGTTAGAACATTGCTCTCACATGTTATACTTATTTATTTGCTCAAATAATAACATTAATCCTTTCATTGAAATGTGGTTTGTTGATAATATCAAATTGTCAAGAACCCATGGATACACGCATTCATGGGCACGCACGCGCACATATCAGCATGGGTATCTTTTAGTTGCACGATTTTTTTACATTTAGGGGCAATGTTCATATAAAAATATATATATACAAACATTCATGGATTTATATGTGTATATGTATGCGTGTAACTAAATAATAACTAATCAATTGACAATCCATCTATACGTTGTAACTTTTAGAATAATTTTCAATTGGCAATGATAAATAACAATAGCGATGATAATGTAGTCTTCATAATTGGCGATGATGAAGGCCATTTAAATTTAACATCATAATACGCAACGCAAGAACCAAAGAATTCATTAAGCTTCACAAGAAAAAGTAATTGAAAACTTGGAATAACGAAAAAAGAAAAACAATTATAACGAGAGAAAAGCAAGTGAAAGTTGCTTACAGCGACAGATTGGCCCTCGAGATCGCGTTTGACAACGCAGCATTGAATGCTAGTAGGTATGGGTTTCTTTGAAGAGAAATTGGTTCGGAAAGTTAGGGTTTCGTGTCGATGAGGTGGAGATTGCAGATTCATGGTGCCAGCATAACAATGCAGGGGGAATCAAAGTGACATTTTTATTTATTTATTTTTTTAAGTTGAATCAGAGTGACGTGCAACCACTGAACCGCGCACCGTCTGTCTGGCTATATCAATACCCCTCCAAATGAAAGTTGCGAATTGCGATCGCTTTCGACTAAAGAGGGCTTTAACAGCATCTCCAACAACAGACATCAAAAATTCTAACCATACCTCAAATGTTTACCTTACCATCAAATATGTCAAATTTGGCATGAAAAAAACGTGATATGCAAAATAAAATTTTATTATTGTTTTAATTTATGAATTTTACAAACAATTCAAATTTAGCAGGAGAACATCTTCATTCGAAACTTTAAATATAATATTAGAATATGTCAAAATGCCATAAGTCAATTTGTCACATTATAAATTTGAGATATGAAATTTGAAGCATCAGTTGTAGAGGTTGGACATGTTCTAGTGGCATAATCTATAGACGGTTCTAGTGGCATAATCTACAGACGGATAGGTCGGCCACACTAGCATGGCTTGAACACTACGGGCCAATTTGATTGAAGGAAAATGAAAGGAAAATAAAATAATGGTAATGAAAAGAAATAAAAAGATGTGTTTAGTATAAAATATTAGATGGAAAGGAAAAGAAAATAAATGATTTGGAGGGATAGAATAAGGAATGAATAATAATTTTTTTTATCATCCGGAAAATGGAAGGAAAAGTTAATATTTTTAAGGCAAAAGAGCAAAAAAAAAAAAAAAAAAAAAAAACCTTAAACTATACAATTGTTGCAAAATGCCTCCCGAATTATTTTCAAAAACAAGTTGCTCCCCTCAACTAGTAAAAGTAAGCAAAATGCCCCCTTTTAAAGCCATCGGAGACCATTTTTCGACCGACAAAGTAATACAATTACTAACTTACCCTTAGTTATTAATTTATTATACAAAATTATAAAATTCATGGATGTAAAATATCAATAATGCCCTCATATTTTTATTTTTATTTTTTTCTTCTTCAGTCCACAGAACGTCGCAGCCAATAAGGTTGTTATCGCCCACATGGTCAAATTTCTGGTCAGCATCTATTTTCATTTTTCAAATTGACTTCATGGCAAGGGCGGAGGGAGCATTATTATATACATTTTGCTTTGAAAGTTCAAAAATGTCCCCCCTCAAAAATTCTAAAACTAACTAAAAAGAAAAGTTAAAGTAAAAACATGCTAGAATTTGCAAGGGCTAAGAGGAAGATAATGTTTAGTAGTGTGTTATGTGCAGGGCTAAAGTCTAAAGTGGAAGACAATTGTTAATGGTGTGTTTAAGCGGTGAAGAAAAAGAATAGGGAAGTATAATTTGTAGTTTGTGTGTGTATTGATCAAATTCTATAAAAAAATAGTGAGGTTTTGTATAAAATATTCATGCTCTCTCTGCCCTTGTACTTGTTCTATTTTTCAATTTCATTTTAAATTGGAAGGAGAGAATCGACAGATAGAGATAGAAATCATAATGAATATTCTATTTTGCTGTCAATCTATCACCGACTCACCTCTCAATTTGTAAGTTTTTTTTCCGGCAAAACACACTCAATTTTTTGTATAGAATATGGAGACCCAAGTTTTGTTTTGTTCACATGAATTTACTATCTATTTTAGTAATTTCAATTTAGTTTTGTTCTGTTCACAACTCATATGAATCTATCACATGAATTACATCAAGAATATTAAACTGCTCCTTGAAAATTTTGTGATTTTGCTATACTTTTTTATTTTTATTGTTTGCTTAAGATGTGAAAAAAATTATATATGCCATGTTAGTTGTTTTTTTTTTTTTTTTTTCTCCTGGCAAATACATTTTGCCATCCCTAAGATGCAATCATGGCTCCGCCCCTGCTTCATGGTACACACACATGCACACTTGTGCGTTCTCGTGTGTGTATATCATAGCTTTTTAGGACTTGGAAATATATACATGGTATTGTTTCATTTCTTCTGGAAATTTTGGAGCAAGAACCATGAGTGCTGTTGTAATTTACCATAAGGTTTTGGGATTTTTCGCAGAGAACACATACAAAATTTTGATTATGGTGATTTGTAGAGTTTATAAAAGTACTGGAGAAACATATAACCTTGTTTTATTATATATATTTATTTTCTCGTATCCCATTGCTACAGATGTTCTGATGATTATTCAGTGGTTCATACTTGAAGTTTTGATATGAGGAAGTTCTTCATTTTCTTTTCCATAAATTGAGTTAAAGATGGAGATTTCCATTTCGGTCATCAACATTGTAGAAACAAGTTTCTTTCAGAGCAAGGTAGATTCAGCCTTTCATGCTGGTACGTGTTCATTGAATAGTGCAAAGCAAGAAAGACACTTTAGATGAAGCAGGGCTGCTGTAAGTCGATGAAGATGCTATAATATCAGTAATAACAATTCCTGATTATTGAACAAACTTAAATAACAGTTAATTCTAGCCATTATTATAAAGCAAAAGAGCAAAATACCCCCTATACATATGCATATACGGGCATGGATGAGATGGAGAAGAGAAAGAGAATGGGTGGTGGAGATGATGGGCAGCGACACCAGTGGAGAAGAGAGATGAGAGGTGGTGGTGATGGTGGGTAGCGAAGTAAGTGAAAGAGAGAGAGAGAAAGCATGAGAGATGAAAAAAAAAAAAAAAAAAACGCAGAGGAAAAAAGGGAAAAGAAGATAAGGGCAAAGTGGTCATTTCATGATAGCAGATATTTTGATTTATTATAATAAATTAAAAAGTAAGGGTAAATTAGTAATTGTGCTATTTTGATGGTCGAAAATTAGCTTCCGGTGACCTTTAAGGGAGCATTTTGCTTGCTTTTGATAATTAAAGGGGCAACTTGCTTCAAAAAATTATTCAGGGGGGCATTATGTAACATAGGTATGGTGTAAGGGGTATTTTGCTCTTTTGTCTATTTTTAATAAAACTTTGTTAATACCAAATTTGCTCGTATTTTTATAAAAGAGAAATTCTATGAAAAATGGTAGGTTTGTAAATTCATGAAAATAATTTCACTTTCTTTATCTTCCATTATTATCATTTCCTTTTTTTTTTTTCCTTTATTAATCAACAACAAACAATTAACGCTATCATTTCATTTCCCTCGTAACTAATGTTATCATTAATTTTCTTTCCACTGCACCAAACATAGCTGGAGGCTTTGTTTGGATTGAGTGATTTGGAGGGATTTTGAAAGAAAATAAAAGAAAGGATAGCAGAAATCATGTTTATATTAGTTAATCAAAAATGAAAAGGTTTGGAGGGAAAAGTTAGTGTGTAAGTAGTATTTTCTTAATCCCGAAATTACCCTCTTATAACATTTGACTTTCATCTTATAACATTTTATAAAAAGGTTATGATTGTAATTTAATTCTTACCATTTATTTTATTTTCTCTTTTCAATCTTTTTCAAACCAGAATACTATTATTTCTTTTATTTTATCCAAATAAGAATAAAAGTTCTTGCTATTATTTATTTTATTTTTTAACTAATGTTATCATTTCTTTTATTTTCTCTCATATTTAACCAAATGAAGTCTAAAGACTTGTAGCCTGCCCGTGGCATGAAGGCTATTATAAAGGGTTGTTGAAAATAATTTAAAATATTTGTATAGACATTTATTTAAAATAAATTGTACACCAATGAATTTTCGAATTATTAGGTATTTTTCAATCATACAATATATATATATATATATATATATATATATTAAATAAATAAATAAAATTTAAAAAATACAAGTTACGAGTCACAATAATTAAGCCATATGATATATTTTTATTTACAAAAACTATTTTTGAACGGTAAATTGTAGCCTTTTGTGGTAGTAATTTTATTTTTCTTATTTTTATAGTCAATTGCGGAGTACTATTCTCATCAATGTGAAATGATTTTTTATCCTTATCTTTTATATATATATATATATATATATATATATATATATATAATATGAGTATGATTTACTTGAATCTATAAATTATTTGTATTCTTTATCGTTCCCCACGCGTTCACTCTATAAACAAATGAAAGTCTGAACCATGCAATGAAAATGAGATTCAAAACCAAACCTTTGCTGAATCAGGATTTAATAAATTTTTATTAAAGAGGCTAATTTTTACGAACCTCATACATTATGCGCTTCTTCGGCCTAAACAATTTGCTCGATTTGTGGCTGGGCCCTATTCAAAAAAAATTTCAAGAAACTGTACAGAAATCAGAAATTGGCTGTTGAAAATTTACCAAGAAAAAGGAAAAAAAATGACTCCTAAAAAAGATTAACTATGCAATTTTCTTATGGGCCCAAATTTCTCCATATTTGACAACTAGCCAGGCCCAGACTCAACATGAAGTAGACAGCATGACTGACAGTGGTCTTGCCTTTGTTTGTGCAATCAAATTGATGTTGGGGGCAGCATTTGGAATCCATCAGGCTTAACGGGCCCAACTGTCTGCTCACCTCCTCTGTAGGAGACCTTTTCTTTCTCGCACATCTAATATTTTGTTATATGTGCCATCAGGCGCCTCTGATGATTTTTTTTTTTATTTTTATTTTTTAGCATTAAGCAGTTGTAATTTTCCTTATTTTCAGTTATATATATTTGAAATTTTATCGTTGCTTCCCTGAAATTATTAAAAAAAAAAAAAAAAAAAAAACACTTTTGCCCCCTTCACTCAATATCCTTGGTCTGTGTGCCATCATTGTATTATGTCACGCATGTAATGGTAATATTTTATTTTGGTGAGTCCTGTCACTGTGCATTAGTATTTAATAAACTATTGATATCATGTCATCAAGTGCAATTAAGATTTTCTCAACATTTATCTTGATGAATACTGAATAAACCAGACAAGAGTTTATTTGGTAAATCAACCACTTGATTGATTGGTCCGCGATAAGTTGGCAGCTTGTTGGGTCGTTTTTCGGATCTGGACTGGACTATAATTTCCTTTTTTTGTCGCTCCTGGGCCCAAAATCAAAGACTGTTGGTCCAAAGGGTGGACATCAAATTTGGGTTCTCACTTGTGCACACCTGAATGGTTATATGCACATGATATGATGGAGAACACTATTACACGTCAGTGACAAAGTGTGGAGTTCATTCTTTTTGTGGTGTCCACTTTATCAAGAGTGATCTTTG